ATTCCCTTCATCCATTAAAAAACAACACTTGTGAATAATGAAAGAAAATCTAAAAATAATAAAATAGAAAGATATGAAAATATCGAAATGTTTTTAATAAGTGTCAGCTTTTGGAAAGCAATGGAAAAAAGATATAATATATTTCACTGTTTTCTCGATATCAAATGAAAACCTTTTCTATACATCCGATTGAAATAATGAGTTGCTAGATGTCGTTTGAATAAAACGAATGCTTTAGGAAAAGTACATATTCAAAGTGAATTGTACTACCTATCGAACCAATAATGAATAAATAACGTTCAGGCATTGCCCTTATATATTTGATCGTACAAAGACGACATCACGTGTCGTTGATCTTGAAGAGCTGGCAAGAATATTTTTCTTTCCTATCATAAGAATCTTATTTGAATAGTAAGAAATTTAAAATATCTTATATTTCTTTCCAGTTTCTGTTTTTTCATAATTTTCAGACAAGATTCTTTGGATCTTGAACTTCAGGCAAGATTCTTTTTAAAAGAAAAGAAAAAGATCCTTGTCTGAACTTTAAATATATCTTGAATATCTTATGATTCTTGCCTGATTCTTTTATTTCTGATTAACTAGACGAGATTCTTGTCATCTTGAAATTCAGACAAGATTCTTTTTACTTTCCTATCGAAAAGAATCTTGCCTGAATACAGGAATCTTGTCTGAAAGTAAAGAAAAACAAGAACCTGGAAAGAATAGAGCAAGATCGTCGATTAGTGAACTCAATAAGATAGCTAGCGCCACCTACATATATATTCAATATTTCTCCTATGGAAATTCACATTTTATGAATTGTAACTCCATATTTGGAATCAGCATAAAATTCTGAATCGAATGATGTAGTTTTCACAAGAATTTGTCGAAAAAAAATTTTCAACACATTCTTGAGGGGTCCTAGGGGCAAAAAAATTCAAAAAAAAAGTCATTTTCCAGAAAATAAAAATACCTCTACTTGGTCAGAATTTTATGCTGATTCCAAATATACGACTTTTATACAAAAATATTGGGGGCGAGAAAATGGCCTTATCCGCCTCCCTCCTTTACTTAATTGATGAGCATGAATTTCACAAATACGTAGAACTAATAGTTTCAAATAACTAACAACATTAGAAGACTATTTTAATTATATAATATTACGGAAAATCCTTCTAAATAAGGTTCATGATCAGGAATGCGATTCAAAGTTGTGCGGTTGAAATTGATGACAAGAAGCTTTGTCCAAGAGTATGAAAATTTCAACTATTTAACATTTTTGTTAATGAGGAGACTTCCACCAGCAAAAAACGAATTTAGTGTACGCGTTTGGTGGTTAGTGATTAACATTAATGAAGAAATCAACATGAAATGTTACAAGTAAAAAGAAATAGATTGTTTCATCGACGCTTGACATATGAATACAAGAATTTTTTTCTAAAAACGAGTTCTGTGTAGTAAACATACTAATTAAAGATGTCTGTTTTTCTATCTGTTCTATCAAAGATGCCAATTTATATAAACAGGATAAGTATTACAAAGTAATCTAATCTATAAATAAACGTAAAAACTTGTTTGAATTCAATAGTTCTGAACCATAACTATATATAGAAATTATTGCGACTGTTGATAGTAATAATTTCATTAATATTAACTCCCACACTGAATTATTCGACATTCAAATTTTAAAAAAAGCAAAGATCCTATCTACTAGTTGAAATATTTTAGTGATTCTAGATTGAAATCTATAACTTCGGTTTTGCTATGTATTATAATTTTTCACATCTAAATCGATCAAAAACAACATCAAATAAATTATTTGTTTAGAGTTCATAATTTTAGGATGCATCTCTTTTGTAAGTTCAGACCAGAGCGGTTAGGAAACTTTGTGCTCGAAGCAAAATTCTCAACACTTCTATGGCAAAAAAAACATTCTTCTCCGTTTTTTGCACAGGGAAACACGTTTAACTTGATTAAATACAAATGATTCAAGACCACCCATCGATGTTGATTAGCTATTTGTTTTTGACTTTTGTCTTAGGAGTACAAAAATTTAATTAGTGTTTCTTATTTGTTGTGTTCAATATTCATCGAAGTATGTCAATCTCCTGATAACATTAAGTTCCTTACCTCAAGCGAAAAACACCGATGGCAATATTCTTTAATGTACAATTATGTATGCGAAACTAAAGTTATTACTTAAACAAACATACCAGATTAGGGTGTGTTTTGTTTGCCACCGATCAACTGATGATAGATGTGCTCAATGAAATTAGAAAGACAAAAATTACAATTTTAAAACAACACTGAAATATAAAGCAGAGAATTACAAGTAAAAGAAATAGAAAGTCTCACGTTAAGTGATGGGCCACTCTTTTTCCTGTCCTACTCATTATTGTAAGTGACATAAGATAGAATATCTTTTGAATTAGAAAATATTACAACACGTAGTAGCTCTGTTGTGATAGATATTAAATTAATGAACAGTATTGAAGTATTCTAGACACGCGAATAATATATTATTGGTCACACATAAGCTATTGCTGTTCAGTCTATTTTAGGATTTTGTCATGCGCCTATATAAGAGTTCTCCAGCTAATAGAGAAATCACTGAAACTTACTTCTTTAGGATTAATAAATTATAGCGATATTTCAATACACCCCCAGTTATATCCTCAAGACATGAGTCTACATCGAAAAATGTTGGGTGAAGCATGAATCCCGTTTTTCAAAGAAAAATGATATAATGTATCGTAAATGTCACACTTCCTGAAATATATTTACTTTGCAATAAAAACCAGATATATTTCTACTATAAGAAATCGAAAGTGACATTTTCTATCAATCAGTTGACGAACGTCAAGAATAAAGAGAAACTACAACCATGGTGAAATTGACCATCAAGAACACTGCATTGACACTGGTTTATAAATGTCCATAGAACGAGAATCATCTGATATTTAATTACTTTTATGAGTTATTATTCATGATTATCTATGCTCATAATCATCTTAGCTGTAAATTAATAGTCACACTGCGAAGAGGTTTTTTTCTGTTACAATAATAAGTATCTGGCTGGTAGAAAATGATGAAATTCTAAAAGCGTACTTTTTTTGGGAGTGGGGCTGATTTCTAAGATAGCGAAACGTATTCCTGCAGTTCTGTGTCAATAGTTACAACAGATGTTCAAAGGCATATGTTCCTAGCTTCCATTCTCAACATGAACCATGCACAAAAGAGCAACCTTAGTTTCCATGCAGAGAAATTAAGCAAAGCATTATAAAACAGACTCGTTAAATATTATTTCAATGCTCTACTTTCTATTGAGTCAAAGAAGAAAACTTGAAAATAACCATATATATGATGTGCTTTTCACAGCTATAATGATCCGTTTTTACGTAACTATAACCGGAATTCATATTTCAGAAAACTGCCGCATGAGTATCAGATAAATTGCTTTTTGTTTCAATAGAAAATTTTATTTTTTTGACATTAGCCACAATATCTAGCCAAGGTACTATAATTGTGCTCGTTCTTTTGCATTTTTTAGTATTATATCGCTGGAAAGAAACAAAACCAATAGAATATTTAACAATTACTATATAATTCTAATAAGACAGATCTCGTGGGAGTCACAGAAGAATCTGTTGAATTTCAATAATTAATTTTAAGAAAATATATTCAAATACCGTATACTTGCATTGATTTTAAATATTCTACCTTTTGTTAAATCGCAGCGTATTCGATGCTTAGAAGTAGCAAATACTTGAATAGCTTTCCTGAAAAAATGTCAATAACATGGAAAAATATTCAATTTTTCTCAAGAAAGAATATCTTTCTTTGAAATCCATGCATAATTTTCTTTGAATGTATTTGTCAGTTATCCTTACATCAAAAGAATATTTCCAGTATGCATTCTCTATTTTTCCGGCTACCTATTATATTCAGTTCAAGCAAAAAAATACTTCTTAGTTGACGCAGGTCCATTGATTATAATGAGATCTTTTTCTGCAATGAATAGTGTTGAATACTAGAAAAGCTTTTAACGATTTTATCTCTGAACACATCGGCGGGCCACCATTGGGGCAAGGTGGGGCAGTTGCCCCACCCAGAATTTTTATTCTTATAGATGCGATTCGTTCATTTTTTTTTCCTAGAGCTGCTATAGACATTTTAATAATTTTTGCCCCACCAAAAACAATTACTCTGGCCCGCCGATGTCTGAACATGACAGAAAAATAATTCAGATTTCTTTCAAGCAGAGACGGCGGCAAGTCAAATCAAGTTAGCACTAATTTCCAAAACATTTTCAAGCCGGGTCAAGTCATCACCTATTCAAAAAACCTCCAAGAGTCTATTCAAATCCCAGCTTGTTCTCGTCAAGGTTTTTTTTGTTCAAGAGTATATCAAAAAATAAGTAAAACGACAGCTGATATAAAAAAAACAAAGGAATCACAAATAATCGATTTAAATTCATAAATCAATGGACTTAACTTGCATATTTCTGCTTTTTAGTCATGAAAATGTATATTCCTGTTCACGATTAGTAGGAAAAATCTATAGACGCAAAGCAATAGACTGTTGCGAAGTCTGATCATGTGCTATATTGTTAATCAGATAAATATGAAAAGAGGCAAAGCAAAGATCGATAAGAATTAATTGAATACTAAGAATAATCTACTGTGTTAACATATGAATATATTTATACGATTGAAGTATGTCTTCCGTCTACAAATGACGACATCACAGTAGATACTTCAGGAAAGGTTATGTCGATCATCCAATAAAAAGCAAGAACTGTGTGTGTCTATAGAATCGCCAAAACAGCCAATCGGGCTGAGTTTCAGAAAAAGTTCAATGATAAGAAGAATTATTCAATTGAAATATATTGATTTTATTAAAAAACCAACAAGAGCTACTGTATAAAATTTGCAATCAGTATTTTTTCCAAGATTTAATAATCATTATATAAATAATTTCTTCACAGTTTGTCATTTCAGATGCTTTTACGACGTCTTTTTCGTTTAAACTTTCCATCACTCATCAATATTCCTCGTGCGTCTTTCTCATTGACATCACTACATTATGCAGCTAAGCCAACAACACCCGCAGCACCTACAGATCAAGCTACGCCAACTGCTCAATCGTCTCAATTAGCACACAATAAAACAAAAACTTCATTACGAGGTACACCCTACAATGTTACTGATATTGAAACATCTCTTCGTTATATGGAAAGTGATGCATACAAAACTGTTTACGGTAGTGAACCTGTATGGAAAAATTATGTACGCAATCGAACAAAACAACGTTTTCCTCATTATACACGCGATTTTTGCGTTGAAGAAGGTCTCTACATACGTGGTAATCCATGTCCAGTATGTCGTGATGAATATCTTCTACTTGATTATCGCAATGTTAAATTGTTGAAACAATTTGTGAATGATCATACAGGTGAAGTCGAACCGGTATTAAAAACTTCCATATGTCAAGCACAATTACGAAATCTTCGAGTTGCATTACGTAAAGCTTATGATTTCGGTTCAATGACATATGAAATACCTTTTCGAACATATGATTATCGAGATTATTATCCAGAATTACGTGATGAAAAAGATCGTACATCATCACTTTTAATGACAATACTTCATGCAGTTCAAGATCAAAAACTAGAAAGCCTTGATCAATTAACATTAACTGATGACCAACTTCATGCTACATAAAAGTTTTTGTTTTTCTTTGTTCAATTAAAAGAAGTAAAACCTCAAATGTATTGTCTTTCTTTTACTCATCGCATAGTTCATACAGTATTAAGATGAGTCATTTACAGATAGAAGTTCTTTGCAATATGCCGTTATTGAGAACTATTGCTCGAATGTGATAGATCAATTTATTTATTTATTTTTTAAATCATTCTTCATATTGCATGCTAACCACTCTAGACGAATTTCGAATGAACTTAAAAAAACGAAATATCTGACACTGAACTAGTAAATTGACAGAGACATAAGCGAATGAAAGCGAGAAATGAAGTATTGACTTTCGACCGAACTTCGATCTATCGAATTTATTTCAATTGTTTTTACTTGCCATATGCTTGTTATCAAAATTAATAGGTTATTTGAAACCAGCTGATAACTTCAGTTTTTCGAAGATGAATAGCTATAAAAGAAATCGAATTCAAACTTAATCGTTTACTGGTATGTGAAAATAAGATATTCTTTAGTAATCTTATCGTTATCTAAGTAAAAAAATATTCATTAAAATAGACCGTCATCATTACTTTTGTTTTTTCCTTGCTTCAACAATTATCTAGAATAAACATTGACCAGATTTTCCTAGATTATCATCATCTGTGTCGAAATATCAAGTGTAGATAGGAGGGATTTCTTTGTCTTAACATACGCATGTCTATGAAAAACTATCCGATTGATATTTATCACATTCATTAGGGATAGAGAAAAAAATAGTCCATCAGGCCTTTTCTTTCTCTTCTTCCCCCTATTTACAATAATGCGATAGCTACTCATTTGTCCTTACTTTCTTCTCTATCCATCGTTGTTTTCTTATCCATTCAACACAAGATGATATATCGTCATTCTGTTTTCTGCTATTTACGTTGTCTTCTTTTTGATGTACAGCATGGCTTGTGACAAGATGTTCTTCGCATGTAGCATCCAGGTCTTACTAATCACATGTATTATATTCCCGTATATATGTATCTGTGCATATTCGTAAATACTTTAGATTATTCACACGACTAAAAGCAAAAGTCTATCATGTTTGCCGTACTGCCCAATAATCCTATGTTTGATCGCGTAGATCATATTCATAGGCGAATGCCATCATTTCGACTCGAACAACATTATTACTATCCATTACATCAACAAAATACCAATACAGAAAATAGAACGATAAAATGCCCAAGGTGAGATAAGAGCCATACTTTGTTTTTTGCACGGTCACATACGCTTTTACGCTGCATGCAAACCTAATATATAGCACACACCATACTTTATAGATAAAAGACACTTTTTTCTTGCTAAACATGAATCCTATTGAATTCGGAGAAAAAACACGTCATGATCATTATTTAATGGATCAGGATGTGACTTATGCTAATCATGGTAGTTATGGACCATGCCCTCGTTTTGTTTACGAAGAATTGCAACGTATTCGTTTTGAACAAGAAAAAAATCCTGATCGTTGGTTTCGTTTAACAAAATATACTTTATATGCTGATTGCGTACGAGCGGCAGCCAATCGACTCGATTGTGATTTCGAACAAATAGCACTGGTCGACAATGCCACTGTAGGTATTAATGCTATACTAAAATCACCATTGCCATCATTTACATCAAAACCAGGCGGAACAGTTTTATGCATCAATTTAGCATATGGCTCAGTCTTGTTTACTATTGAAGAGATGGTTAAACATCGTAACATGAAAATGCGAAAGATTGATATTCAATTACCAGTGAAAAGTAAACACGACTTTATTCAACAATTTGAAGATGAACTGAAAAAAGGTGATGTTGAAAATATTCGTCTTGCTGTTATTGATCATATTACAAGTTCAACGGCTATTCTTTTACCAATCAATGAACTTACTGATCTATTGCATGAACATGGCATTCCAGTAGTTGTCGACGGAGCACATGGACCCGGTCAAGTGTTTCCACAACTCTCATTGAAGACGCTTACTTGTGATTTTTATATTGGCACATTTCATAAATGGATGTACGCAGCAAGAGGTTGTTCGTTTCTTTTTGTTCGTGATAAAATTATTGCAAATCAACTTCAACCAAGCAATACATCATGGGGTTATCGTCCATCGTTATCTCAACTTGCTATAATGACACATTTTCATCTGCAATTTTTTCATCAAGGTACACGTGATGAATCGGCTTTTTTAACTTTACCAAAAGCAATCGAATTTGCTGATTCCATGGCTGGTGGATTTGATCGAATTTATCAATACAATTCAACATTGAGTCAACAAGCAAAAACTTTACTCGAACAACGTTGGAATACACAAGAAAAAGATCTTGTTCCTAGTGACATGCATGCGCCCTATTTAAAAATGATTCAATTACCTGATTTAGTAGACTATAAAAAAAATGATGATGATGCTGTTCGTCTTATCAATGACTTAATTGAACATCATAAACTAGTTTCAATTATTTTATGTGTGAATAACGAACTTTATGTTCGTATTGCTACACAGATTTATAATCATATTGAAGACTATATAGTTTTAGCTGATGCAATCGATAAACTTAAAAAATAAATAAATCAATAAATTTCTTCTTTTCTGTTTTAGACGTTTACGTTCATTATGCATTCGAAAATTAATTTCAAACGAACGATATTTGCATTCTTGTCTACAAGAAAAGCATATTCTATCGTCGACACCATCAAATATATTTTATTCAATAGCACAAGAAGCTATATTTATGAATGAATATCAAATAATCGAAATTCTTATTGCCTATTGGCCATTAGTTCATCTAGAAATTTACCGTCTTCTACCATTATCGTCGATGTTATTTCAGATTCATAATCAACAACCAGATGATGAAATTGATTCAATTGCAAAAATTTTAGAAAGAAAATTACCCGATGGTTCGTCATTAGTCGATTATATTGTCATGGGTTTAGTGAATAAACATAGAAGTTTGTCACGTCTTAAAATTGTTGATTTTCATCGATGTTCATCAAGTAATATCAAATGTTTTTTCTGTTTTGTTTTTAAAAGATTTCGCATTTTAAAGGTGCTCAAATGACAAAGGAACTTTTTCGTTTACCATTACTATGGACTTCACCAGAAAAACGTCGTTCATTACAAAAACGAATGTGTAAGTTAAATAGACAAAAAAAAAAGAAGAAAAAGTTTTATAGTTAAATTTAATTTTAATTGATACAGCTATTGAAAAAACAAAACTAGACAAGTATATTGAAGGATTCAATTATGTGTATCAATACTATGATAAATCAATTGGACATGAAGTTAATTTTGGTAGACTATCGCATGGAATGATAACCTTAGATTTTCAAAACTATAGCATGTGCGTGATTTATCCTTTAATCCTCCATTTTGAATTTTTCTTTTGATGAGAATAGTCATGAAGATTTTCAGATTTTATTGAATGTTTTCCATCATTCACTGAAAACATCTAATACAACTGACGACATATTATTTGATTATTCTCAAAATATAGATTCAATTCACGTCAGAAGAGAGGAGTAGAATATTATCTCTTTCAGTTTTAATTTGATTTAAAATCTCAAAATGAGATCTTTATGAAATTATAAAGATAATGTCGACGTCAATCAACTTTAACACACCTACTTTTTTTTCCTTCTTTAGAACCTATAAAAATTATTCATGATTGTCAAATAATAAATGAAGATACAATCGTCGGCCTTGAAATTCAACAGCTAACTCCGTTTCGATTCCATTTTCATAAATTATGGATCAATAATTATTTTCGGCAAATTTTACCACCCAATATATCATTCGATATTAATTTAGTTTTAACTCTCACAAATGTTGATGTAACTATTCTATAGCTAGCTTGTTTTTCCGATTGCCTTTTCTTTTATTTTTGTCGTTTATAGAACATCACACATTTTCATTTAAGTGATACAAATATGGAAACAACAGAAAATGAATTAAAATTACTTGTACGATGTTTATCAAATCTACGTAATTTGCGTGTACTCTGTTTACAACGTGTTCTTAATTTATATCCTAATCGGTAAATAAAAATATCGAATCTTTTTATTTCTTCGTTTCAATAAAATTAAAATTTTCAGATATACAACACCACATATACTAATGAATTTATGTACAGATTTCAATCGACTATTACGTCGTTTAATTTATTTACGAAAACTTGATTTATCCTATTCATATCTTCAATCTTATATTCGTATTTTATTTAGTGGCCTTATTCAACCACTAGAATATCTGAATTTACAAGATTGCCGTTTAATATCAAATGATTTAGAATTTCTACTATCAATGCGTAATTTACGGCATTTAAATGAAATGAATTTAAGTATGAACAATTTTGGTACACGTGCGTGTTCAAATATAATTTTACAACTTATTCCTCGTTGTTCGCAATTAACAATACTATCAATTGGCTATTGTTCATTGCAAGCGTCGACGATTGGACAACTAGCTGATTATTTTATTAAAGAAAAAAATGAAACGAAAATTTCTTACCTATCATTTAAATCTATAATACCGTATTATAATTATGAATTCGATGTTTTATTACAAAAATTTGGACAAATAAAAACATTAAAAAAGATTTTATTATTTCCACAATTACATACTTATCCAGGTGCAAATGATGATGAAAGAGAAATAGTAGCAAGAGAACTCTATCGCAGATGTTGCCAAACTTTGCAAACATTAAATAGACAAGATTTAGAAATATTATGAAAAAAAAAACAAGAAAATTTTATTTTTTAAATAAATATTAAAAAAACTGGCAAAGAATATCGTTTTTTTTTTTTAATTTCAAATAATGAATCAGAGTTATGTAATAGCTCTGTAAGTGATGCACTCTGTTTGAGTAAATTGCAATGAAATTTGAAGTATATTTACAACTTGGTTTTTCGATATTTTCAATCCTGAGTGCTCTATCATCGGTCATGACCTGTAGAAATCAGTGCGACAGTAGTAGCAGTTGCTAAATAATTGTTTTCTGATGTTACAAAGTAAGAGTAAAGTAGATAAATAAATATTTTTCTTAATATATAGATTGCCGAGTATTGAATCTTTAAAACAAATAGAAACTGAAGCGAACAGGATACAGAGCTACGAAGAAAAGAAAAGCGTGATCCTTTTTCCGAAGATATATATATTGCATATTATAAATAGTAAAAAGCATTTGTTATATAATATGGGGATGAATTAATTGTTAGCAACATCAATGCTAATATTACATTTTTCTTTGTTTTCTTCTATTGGGAATATTCTAGTATGGCTCCAAATGAATCTTATGAACGAATAAAAGAAGAAATGATCGTTGTATTTTTGGGTGTGGGTGTTGCAATAGATACATCTCTCAATGGACATAATTTTATTTTGAATATCTAAATGATCAAATCAAAGCCTCATAGAGTGAATTAAAATTTTGTCATAGTATTTCTAAAGAAATCAAAAAAAAAAAGACTTTTATTATTATTATTACTAATAATTATTCGCTATGCTGAACGTATTATTTCCATTCATTCCCAAGAGTATGATTTTGTGTTAGCTATGTGAATATTTTATTTAACATTACATTATAATCATCATTCTTTTGGCGCTGTCGACATGTTGCTTTATCACTTATGAATATGCATTAGTTATAAATCTATAATAATTGACCTTTATTTAGTGTGATAAACAATAAAAATTGGATAGATTGCCGCAATGAATCTACTTGTAGATAGTTCAAATTCACAGTTGCTTGTTACGTGAAAGACTAGACGAATACAATTTTTCATTCTAGGTGATAATTCTTCTCTCTCTCTTATATCAAATCAAATTCATCGATCACGATTAACTACCCTTATCGAATGTTTGTTTTATCGAGCACAAAGATCACTTCTTGTTCATCAGTGATTAATTATTTCTACAAGATAATAGTTCAGTATAAAATTTATCATAAATACATATCGCTAAATAACGTCGTGTGAGAAAGATTAAAGAATCATCACATTCTAAATCACTACGTAATAACGCATTATTACATTATTCACTTATTCTTTGCAAAGGTATACTTTTCTCCGTTTTCTTTTCTTTTGAGATAAAAGAATCAAGACTTTGTTCCATTTCCTTGTTAGGAGAGAGAAAATTGTGCCCTAGTTAATTAGCGCCGTATTCTTTAGAAATGTATGTATATTTTAACCTTCTGGGAATTTTTTTTTCGACCTCCATGCTTAATGTATGCTAGTAAATGAATGGATTTCTCGCTTTTTCTTTCTCTCAAATAATCTTGTTTCATATTAATTACATCTTTAAATAGTAGTTGACAGGTATATAAGCATGCTGATTTCTTAATTCTATAGGTAGATTTCATTTTGACGGTCAATCAAAGTATGCAAAACTATTTCTAATGTTGTTAATATATAATAGGGTTATTTGACGTAAAAGACAAGAGTATTATAGAGCGATCATCTATTCTAAGAAAGTGAGAAATTATTAAGTGGCACACTCCCCTTAATAGTTTATCACGTAAGACAATGTCATTATTTCCTTTAAAGTTCATTTATAATTTATATGTTGTAATCATTTTTTCTTCTTCTTCTTCTTCTTCTTCTTCTGACTTTTTTTTCTAATCTAGAAAATGACTAAAAGAAGCATTAGCTTTTAACAGTAGAAATCTGATTGATTGTGATAACCGGAAATTCTTACATATTTCTTATTCCGTCTAATGACCATAACGATAAAAAATTATGCTCATTCTGTCGTTATTTCTATGTCGAATATTATAATGATCCATCATCTAAATGGTAAATACTTTTTGCTTCATGTTCTTACCGATAAGTATTAGAATCAAGCAGACGTATGATAATTGGCTGTTGTATAATTTATTTTTAATATGAAACTTTCTACTTTCATCATTTCGCTTAGTGCAGATTGACAGAAACTCTCTCATTTCTTTCTTTTTTATGTGCCGGATATGTGCTCTTACTCACGTATGCTGTCATTAAAAGAGAATGTGGAAAAATAGCTTTATCAGCATATCCACATTCTTTTCACTGACTGCCTTTTGAATTTTATTTGGTTCACTAAGTTTTCTCTAGATTATGCATCCTATATAGGAGAAAGTATAAATTTAGTTCAAATAAGCGAATGATGACTTTCTTTGTTGTGTTGCTTCTTTATGTATTATAAAATATCGTCATAGCAGAAGAGCAGAATATAAGCATCTATTCAATTGAATTTAAAAGATCGAGTAAGTGAACAAAAGAAACAGAGAGAAAGAAAGAGCAAATCAGCCATCTATACTTTAGTGGCACATAGCGTTCTGCTCTGATATAAAAAAATTTCAATTTGTCGATATGTTGATATTGTCCGTATGCTACTGTTCTATATAATTTGTTTTTCTTTTCAACTGTTCATAGAATTAGTAAAACATACAGAAGAAAGCAGACGCACTTGGCTGCTTGTCTTCATCTCTAGTTACAGTGGATAGCGACATGAACAGCAGGAATAGATTAGAATACAAAATAAGAGATTGATTAATCGTTTGATGGCACCGAATGCTACCTCATTCATTCTCTCCCCCCTCCCACCTAATGGATAATTGAAGAGCGAGAGAAAAGTAACAATGTCTTTAGGCTATTATACGCACACATACACACAAATAGGCATATTGTAAGTAAAAAACAAAATTCAGTATTAATATTCATAATGATATGTGACTACTGTTGTCAAACCATTATTTTTATCACTAGGAAATGTCATCATTTGAATATAATCATTCAGTTTATGATCATACATTTTAATATACTTGTTTCATCCAATTGAGTTTCTGTTTCTCCATAGCCGTCTCTTTCTTTTTTCACTCTTCATCTGTTTATATTCGATCGAGTGTTAGAATACGAAATGAATTAATAAGTGACCAACTAGTACCGGCGACCGTTCAATCATTCACAGACACGTCCGGTTATTATGTGCAGCACAACCAAACACGCGTGAACTTAATTGCTGCGATCATCTTCCGTCTAATTCACTTGCATGCAGTACTACATATCCTGTTCGAAATGAAGAATAGACTGATGCTTCTCAAATATACGAAGAATATAGATTAATAGCTTTACTAGATGGGAAATACGAACGAGAATAGTCGGGAAAATATAGTGTCTGCGTGAATGTGCATGCATACATATGCACGTTTCATTAATTCATTGTACCCTTGCGGCTTGGTGATGCATATGTGTTAAAGAAGAAAACAACACATCTACACTTGATTACTTCTTTGAAGGTTTTTCCTCCTACTCGTTCTCATCATTATGATTATCTTCTCTGTGAAACTAATATGACAATAACAGGTTTCATCGTTGCCGTCGCCATTCTGTTGATCGACGACAACAGCAATGTCGATTAGTTTGCATGTAAGTTATTGAAAACAACAATACACTTGATTGATTTTTTTATTATTCAATAGTATTATTATTATTATTACTTATTAATCAAATGCCTGCTTGTTGCTCATGGTTAAGTCGGCCATTGTGTTGTCGACGAGAATCACAACACGCATATATCTATTTGTATACCCCAACGATGACCGGTTCATCATCGTCATCGTCATCTTCTTCTTCTTGTCATGGTTGTCTTGTTTGTATTCTATTTGGACTTTGCCTGGCCTTAGTTGTTACCCTAGCAGCTGTACTTATGTATCATTTAAATAGTACTGATTTCATAAAAACAAAATCTTCTGAAATATGCACAACACATCCATTGACAAGAAAATTGCAATATCCGGATTTCGTTAATACCAAAATAGATCTATGTGAAAATTTTCATGCTTTTGTCTGCGACAAATGGACACGACGAGAAGTCATAGAAAATTTCAACGATAAAGATGATTCTGAAGAGCAGTGGACACGTATGCAAAATGAAATTCATCAGAAGCTTATGGCAAATACAAATGGTCAATCTATACCAAACGAAAGTATGAATTAAAGTTTTTTATTTTTATAAAAAAGGCTCTCTGCTCATGTTCATCAGATAAACTTTTGAAGAGAAACTATTCAATAGAACTACTGAACAAATGTTAGATGTGAAGATATAACATGTAAACTATACATTTATATATGTTTCTAGACGATCACATCATCCCATCTACTTATCGATTATATCAATTATGTGAAAATCAATCACCCTTAATATTACTCTATGAACTTGAACGTTATTTTGCTAATCTAAGCCATCAAGAACCATATCAGTCACATTTAACTCTCTTTAATCAAACAAAATTGACAAATAATTCATCAAAATCATTGTTTTTTCTTGATCCGAATCCATTTTTTAAAATTCTTCACTCATCATCGAGTTCTTCAATTGTAACTCGAATTCATCATCGTCCATTGCCTTCAGCAATATTTATCTTTTCAAATATAACAATCTTAAATCAAACAGCATTGAAACATTTAAAAAACTTTGATAATGATTATCGGAAATTTTTATCTGAAGAAAATATTTTAATTAAATCCTATGAACAAGAATATAGTCAAGATTCGTTGATTGTAAAACGAATATTATCTTTTACAAATTATGAACAATGTCTATCATCATCATCATCAAATCGAAGTAATGGTTTAGAAAAATTAATTCAATTATTAAATTATTTTCTTCATTCACGTTTACATAAATTTAATACAAAATTAGTTGATCAACAAATTCGTATCTTAAATAAAATAACAGATAATCATACACTTGTTGAACGTCTTCAACGTATAAGAACAGACTTAAGAACAATTGAACAAATTGTTCTTATAAATAATACAAATACGTCATGTATTCTTAATTTACTGGATGAACTACTTGATAAACGTATGAGATCAAACGAATTGCATTCAATGGTAGATCTCTATCTATCAAACAATACAACAGAAGATTTTATTTCAAACGATTGGCCTTATTTATTTATGTTATATGATCGTTTATTAAAGAAAACTCCTTTAGATACTCTAATCAATTTTGCATTTTTCGATTATTATAGACAATATGTTTATCCATATTATCAATCACATCTTAATCCTATTAATCCTATTAATATTAATCATTATAATGAACATTATGCTTATACATATCGAACAAATTATCCGAGTTTGTCGTGCCAAATAAAAACTTGTTTTGATATATTCAATTGTTATCATCCTTCTTTACTTAATCAATTAATTGAAATTCATAATCAGGTAGTTATAGACAGATGTAATGAATTTTACTCTATTTTATGCATTCGAATTTCCCAGTGAGAGGCATTTTGTTTTTGATAAAGTATCGATTTAAAATTTACCTGTTGAAAATAGTGTTACTCATACGGAATAGATTTAATATGAGTTAGGTTTTGACTTGAAAATTAGAAGTTCAATAGTCAATGTCTGTTTTTCTATTGATAGAATTATTCTATTCCTATGAGACAGTTTGTAAACCAAACAAACGATCAAAGACGAATTTAATTGACATAACGCTCTCGATCATCCAATATGAGAGTAGTAAAAATGCAATTGAGCTAGAATTTCTTCATTAAAAATATTCGATAAGAATATTTATTTTTATCCGACATAAATTATGTATACTATAGAAAAAAAGCAATTATTTACGTATTCATCTGTTCGTTTAACGTATTTACAAACACCTTATACAACGGGTGGCATATTGAGAATATTGCTGTTAATTTTTCAACTTTTGACTCGAATGTTTCCTTTTTTCTTTCGCAGAGAAGGACCTATAAGATTTTCTATCAATGTCAAGTAAAAGAACTGCGAAGAAAAAAAAAGATAACTGGAAAACCGGGATACTTCACTCAAATTTAATTCATAGACAATTACTCAGTACCAACTGTTAGACGCACCTGAATTCCTGTTAAATGCATACTTGAGCTAATTAAGCTAAACTTTTAAGACATGTCTGTAGTAATATTATACTACAAATATATGAAGACCGATAAAACGGTTTAAAGTCATCGGTCAGGTGATAGATTTTTTCGTAAGTCACATAAACAGATGTATAGAAATGTTTCTCTAGGCGATTATAAACAACAAGACATTAAGTTGAAACCTTGCTGGATTATACATATATACTAGTAGCTCGATGTAGCTTTTCGGTTTTCATAGATAAAAATACTTCTCATCACGTGTTTTTTTATATAGCAAAATGTTTTCGAGTTATTATTTGAAAAGAAACTAGGTCAAAATTGTAAATTTTGAGATCCATTTACGGCCTTCATTATAGATAATAGGTGTTAAGTAGTAAACTATTATTGTATTGTATAAGGTCAAATGAAACAATCATTGTGTCGATCAACGTGAAATAACTACGCAGAAAATAAATATATTATTCAGCGTTTTACAATCGATATTCTAATTCAATAAATTAATAATTTTACTTTTAGACATTTCTCGATGATACCAAAACTTTAGTTGAAAATCTAATTAATCGTTTTCGATTATTAACTGATCAATCGGATAATTTATTTCTTAATGAAAAAAAGCAAATTCTTAATCAATTAAATAAAATTCAAATTCGTATTGGTCATTATTCTTCTCAACCTAATATTTCTCTATCAAATGATTTCTCATCGTATCTTGAATACGTTCAATTCTATTTAAGAATCCCGTACGATAAACAAGAACATTCATATTATATTGAACCAATTTATTATCCATCAAATCAAATATTATATCTTCCTTTTGGCTTTCTTTCTCTATCAAACACTTCAATTGAATATCATATAATAAAAATTCTATTAAAAGTACTTCGTTTAACTATTCAATCAAATCCATATAATATTGAATGTTTATTAAAATCATCGGACGATGAACATGATCCAATAAATACAACAAAATTATCTTCAAATGACGAATCTATTGCTTATCTATTATTACGTTCAAAATTTATAGCCGAACAACGATTAATTCTCGATGAATATTTGTGGCCTTTTACAAATGCTAATTCATTAATGAAAAATTTTCTTATTCATTATACAGCTAATCATTATTGTAGAAATTCAAATGGTCATCATGCATATCTAAATAATACTTATCTTATTGATGATGTTCATTTGATTTTTCATTGTGAACAAGCTAGTTCAATTAGACAATCGAAATGTACCGTCAATTAACTTTCTTTCTGCCTTTTTTTTTTAAATTTTATGTATTTATTAACAAAATCAACAGTTTATTACAATAAATTTCGACACAAAGAAAAATATAAAAGAATGTCTTCTCGAATTTTATGTGTTACACACAGATCGAATATGATTAACATTTGAATTCCAATGAAAGTTGGATGATATGTCAATGCAACATTATATTGTTGAATTGATAGATAATATAACCATCAGCCGTCAAGGCATAGGATGCAATTGTTCAAGTTGTAAGTTTTTCAACTGTATTAAAATCAAGACAATCATCGTCTTTGATTAATGATGTTGCATTTGTTGTTGAGTCCAATGAGAAAAGTATTTCTTCAAATGGACGAGAGTTTATGTTCATAGTATTGATAAATGTAACAATGTTCCGAGAGTAAACTACCATTGTCATATTGCGTTGAATTAATGAATTAGTATAATAGATAAGCATTACGTATGCTCATGATATAGAGAGCGTTTGTAACTGCGCAGCATCGTGCGCCGAGTACGATTATGTATAATGTGATCTATCCTGTGAAAAAGTGCATCGTCGTTGTCCTCTTCATATTCAAAAGAGAAACATGACAAGGAAAACCCCGCAATAGTACTTTGTGCTCTTCTTGTTTTCATGTGACCTATGCGCGAGACTGCATGATCGAAGAAAAAAAGCAATTCTGTTACATCTCTTCGTGTACTTTTGACTCGTTTTCTTTTTGTTCTTCGCCGTCGTTACAAAAAAAGCAGCACGTGGATAATATTAACTAAAAGGAATTTTTATTTCGATCACGCGGGCGACGTGTGTGAAGTTTTAGTGAACATCGCAATAAAGACTTTGCAACAAAAGTCATTTGGATATATATTGCTTCATAATAGATATTATCTAATGTGGAGATTTATTTAAATAAAAACAGAGAGTCAACATTTTATGTCGAATGAATAGTCATACAAAAGTATGCAAAAGCAAACGAGTAAAATGTCATCGACGCGAAACGTAAAATTTTCGTAGTGTTCTGTTCATGCAATTAGTCTCAATTTAAATGAGACTTCATCAATTTACGTAGCATGATACTTTTCAATACCTTGCAAAATAAAAAAGAAAACACTTATGTCTAATCAGTATCTATGAAAAATGAATAATTATAAAATTGAACTTGAAGCACAAGCTTCTCTTTTACCTCGAACCAAAACATCAGTTGTCATAAGTACATGTGTATCATTATTATGAAGCTCCTCTTTCATAGTAGCATCACGTTCTTATTGTTTCATATCATCGTGCATCGATAAAGTAGTAACATGAGCTTCCCTAGTCAACTCTCACTAGAAGAATCCCTAGGGAGTCTCCAGGGATTTCGTTCTTTTGCGGGGACTCCCCAGGGAGTTGTCTGGGGAAAATGGATGAAATATCTAATTACTAATAAATTCTTCTTAATTTTTTAAAATTAAAATTTTTTTATTTTATTTTAAAAAATCTCATCAATTCTCCCCAGAGAAATCCCACAAATAAAAGTCCCCGGGGATTCACGACAGGGACTCCGCAGGAAGTCTTCGGGGGAGAGTAGATTAGGATTCACTTATTTTTTTCTCTCCATTAACCAATTTACTTTACGTTCAGTATTAAAAGAAATTGTTTTATACTTTCAAGTGTTAACTCATAATGTTCAACTAACATGCGAATAGGATCGGTTACAAGGGGGAAAAGGCGGATTTGGGATTTTGGAATATTAAAAATCCAAAACGTGAATGATGGAATTTCCATCTGAATTTTTTCCATGTGTAAGTCTCATGATCCTTAGAATATTTTAAAATTTTCAGCGCAAACAGAAATCCAGTTTTTTTGAAAATTCAATATTTTAAGAAGGGAACATCTGTTCGAGTTGAAACTTTTAGGATCTTTTATGGATCATGAAACCCAAATATGCGAAGAATTTCAGCTCGTAACTACGTCATTCACAGAAGGAAAAACGCTTTTCAATTTATGGGATTTTCAAAATCCCAAAAATCCGCCTTTTCCCCCTTGATCGGTCATAAAATTCGATGTGCAAGATGATGAAAAACATCATAGATTTGTTCTTTGAAACAAAGATTACGCATTTTTATATGACACGCTCCTAAAACAAGATGCTACGAATTGAGGAATTCGATTCAAGTAGACTAATTGAATGTTTTTCTTTCTTCATTGTGTATTTCTTTTCTATGATAATAGCAAAATCTACTGTTATACTACGCTAGAATATTCTCTTTGATTAAATAATAAACGTAAGAAATTTCAGCGTAAAATTTATTTTTCATAATCAAGACCAGACTGCGGTATTTTTTATTTCCACTGAAATAACGCAGAAATTTCGAAGATAAGATCTTATAATGCACTTCAACTTCTCAAGCATAAGTCAAGACGACAGTACTTCATCATAGGATTTATAAATTTCGCATTATTTTCATATCGTAGAAATTATCGATTACACATATCATTCATTGTTCCTGGTGTGCTAGTAACACTGCGTTGTCCATTCGAAAGTTTTCTCACATATTTGTTCCATCAATACAAACACGAGATTTTAAATTCATCAAATCTCGTCTAGCTAAAACAACATTTTGTATTTCTCTTGTACTAGTATCTAGTCTTTTGTAATACTGATATTGAAAAGATAATCGTTTTACTAGTACCTTATTGTACTTGAGCAATGGCATCACGATCATTTATGATCGCCCGAATATTAGGCTGTTGAATAGCTGATCGTTTTTTTTTCAAAACCAAATCAATAAATACCATGAATAAGATTTTCATTTAAATTCATGGTATTAAATCTTCACTGGTTATGAATTCAATTGAATGTAAATCATAACCGGTTTCTATATTTTTCTGGATGGTTAGAAAGAGTTGATATTTTTATTGAAATACCGGATATATTTTTCGCGCTGATCGACAATAATCAATTTGTTAAGAAATGAAAGACAATTCTCTCGTGTGACATCTACTTTCTTGTGATTGGACCTTGTTGATTTGAAATTATGAGCCAACCAGATGTCAGCTTTCCAATTAAGCATACTGTTCATTTTGTTACGAAATGGCTGACAATGACGATCAAGAAAATTTATCAAGTTCCAGTGATGAAGATGATTCAACGACAAGTTCATCAAGCACATCAACGGAAGAAGAAGAAGACGACGACGACGACGATGATGATGATGAAGAACAAGTGGAAGAAGAGTCAAATGATAATTTGACAACGTTAACTCCAAAACAATCGTATTTATTGCTTGAAACAAAACGAAAAACTCTCGGAAAACGTTTATTAGAATTACGTGATGAATTAAAAGCACAACCACAAGCTGACATTGATATAAAAAAGCGTTTATTAACTGAAATTAAAAATTTACGTGAAAAATGGATTGCTGTACAAACTCGTTTGACTAATCTTAAAGCAAGACTTAGTCATAGTCCAACACCTGAACGTGAAATAATTCAAAAACCACCAATAAAAAAAACAGAAGAGCCTGCTCAACCTGAAGCGAGAGTCATTCCACCACCACGTGTAAGAACAACCTATAGTTCATCAAGTCGATCGAGATCTTCATCAAGTGATTCAATGTAATAAATAAATTTTTGAAATGACTTCGTCATTTTTCATTGCATTTTCTTTTATTGTAGACGATCAAATAAAAAACCTTACCATGATTTAGATGCATTAGATGAAATTGGCGATTCGAAAACTCGTGATATACTATCATCTCGAACTACAACATCCTATCGAGATCTTATCGATGAATATTCAGCATCGCCAAGTCCACCAGCATCACCAGATCCAGATCAAATTCCTTTAGTGAGTGCGTATTCAAGTCAGTCGAAAGTATTCAGTGAAAATATTCAAGAACAACAAGAAGAACCGATTGTTGATTCGAAAGAAAAATTCTATAATCAAGCTATTCCATATCCAGTTATTAATGATAAACGTGATCTTGAACTCATAAATCGTCAATTAAAAAATCAATTACGTGAATTAGAAGCAAGTAAAAATAATCCATTATATGATCCACAATCAAATCTAATGAATTATGAAAGATTAAAAAAACAAAATGAATATATTAATTTAAGAATTCGAATTGAAAAATTAAAAAGAACTAAAGCAAAAACACAGCGTGAAAAAGAACAAAGTAAAAAACAATTTCACACACTTCTACAAGTATGTTCTATTGAAACAAAATATAAATAAGATAAAAATGACATTTACTTTTCAAAGGAATTTCGTAAACTTCAACGTTCTATGCGAGCAGCTAATCGAGATTATTCGCATAATCAATTTTTTACAATTAACCCAGAAAATTTTGCTTCATTTATACCTCTACCACCATCGCCACCACCACCACCACCACTGCAACCAGAAGTCAACAAACAATATCAACAAGAAGAATTTCAATTGCCACCATATGATTTTAATAAAGTTACGGGAAAGAAAACTGTTTTCGAATCATCCGATTCCGAAGAAGAAGATGAAGAACGATCGTCGGAACCGCAAGTTCCAGTGTCATTATCTGCCAGTGAACCACGCGCTGTGCCAGATGGTTTCGATCAAAATCAGCCACCTCCAGTACCAATGCCATCAAGTTCTTCTTCATCAGCTACACTTGATGCAATTAAAACTCGCTTTGCTAATTTATTAAATGCACCAAGTTCTTCATCATCGCAAATAAATGAACCGACTACAACTACTCAAGTCGTTCATAAGAAAGATGATGATGATGACGACGACGATGATGATGATGATAGTCAACCAGTAATTCATGCACAAAGAAATCAAGCTGTATCAGCAAAATTTAATCGAAGACGAAGAAAAGCTAAAAGAAATAAACATAAGAAAAAGAATAATAATACACAAGCAACACAACAAACACCAAATGAGAATGAATCAGCAGTTTTCGATCAGGAAGAAGCATGGAAACGCTATGTTGCCATGCAATTACAATTCAGTTTTTTACAACGGTCAAATCCTATTTTACGTGCATTAACAGCTGAAGCACATAAAAAGTTAGGTATCACTGAAGATGAAGTTAATGGTAAGTTAGATTTATGATTAATTTCTATTAAATTGAACTTTGAAGTCAACAAAATACTTATGCGTCTTCTGATAGTTTCTTAAATTACGTAGAGATGTATTCCTAATTAAGATTTTAAACGAGATTTCTTTTGTTCTTATTTTATTAAGACTTTCAATTCGATGATGAAATGATGGATTATGAAACTGCACTTATTTTACAGCAACAACAAGAATTTTTAGCTGCTGCTGCTGCTAATCCATTTAATGTTTTACATAATGCTGCTGTTGGTAGTTCATCATCAAGGCCTAATCTAGTTGATGTACTATCAAATTTAAATGGTGGTAAAACACCATCATCATCTGAACCTCAGACACCTATGGGATTATTACAAAAATTCTTTCTCGATGCAAATAATAATCACAATGCTGAACCTCGTAGAAATCTCAATCTTAACGATTCAGCAATAACTCCACCTACTCCACCATCGCCACGTGATATTTCTCTCGGCAAGAAAATTGTCAAATCATTAACAAATCAAGATATAAATGCTCTACTTAAACTAAGTGGAAGTGAACATGATGATGATGATGATTACGACGATGATAATAATCCATCGCTTGACGGTGATACTGATGATGATACGAATAATTTTTCTATTGATGACGATTCAAATGATATACCTAATGGTAATTATAATAATAATAATAAAGATTATGAACAATGGGTACGCCCAACACCAAATTCATCACGGTCAACGCAATCATCTGGTATACACAATAAAAAATTAACTGTGGAAACATTGATATTACCAAGTTTTAATCGCTGTACACATTTGGGTAAATCAACAAAACGATCGGCTGGCGTGGAACGTATGTTTCCATCGTTTTCAAAACATAATACTGGTCCATCATCAACACTTAGTGTAATTCTTTACGGATTATCATCAACGCCTTAAAGAATCATGATGTATCGTGTTTTGTTTTGTTCGCGTATTATTGATAAATGTTTTGTTAACTAATAGATTTTGGTTCTTTTTTCTTTTTTTTGTATCTAAATGTATGTATTGTCAGCTATGTTTCCTTGTTTTTCAGATGTATATCAGCCACGATAGTGTAATTTTATGATTATCTGATATTACTCACATCAATTAAGTAAGTTTACAGTTAAAAACGAATCATTATTAATTTTCTTTAGATGATTTACTTGAGATCGTAACAGGTTGTTTTTAACAGAAAGAAAATAGTGAATGATCGAGTGTTGTTAACTAATTCTCCTGAGAAAATTCTTTTAAAATATCAAGGAAATCATCCGATTGATAAATCAATTTTGAGTTAAGACCAAATACATTGTGTAGTCTCAAATGATCAATGAATGCTTTGGGGGAAAATGAAGAGCTGAATTTTTGCAGAGTTGTTTATGTGTACAAAGAGTTTAAAAGGCGAAATTTAAAAAAAAATTAGTTTTCTCTTTTCTCGGAGTTTCCAAAGCTTAAATCGGAACTATATAATTCACTTATTCTCGACTGTAAAGCAGTTTCATTAATTGAATGAGTTAAGTTGTTAACAAAACTTGATCGTGTTCTTACCGAAGATTTTTCTCAAAAAATATGAGAAAGTAAAACTTGAATTATTCATAGAAAATTTGTTCTTTTTGCTTACAGTATGATATCCACTACTGTCATGATTGAAACTTCTACTACTGCAAATGGTCAAATTTTATCAGCAAAGAATAATCTAAGCGAACTTTATTCAACATATAAAAATCAACCATCATCACCAACTATTTCTCGTTCACCATCATTGTCATCAATACATTCTTCTTCATCATCATCATCATCATCTTCATCTTGTTCATCAAATAAAGCTAATACAAATTTAGCTCTAAACAAAATAGATTCTAGTTCATCGATATCTTCCAATCAGCGTAAAGAATCAATATCAAAACTTCCATATCCCGTTTTATCTGACCATCGTGATCCATCATCCATACTTGTTCTATTACAAAAAGAAACTCACACAACCTCAAAAAAGATTTCTAGTGTGATTAAACAAATCGAAAACTATGAACAACGTTTAACACTAAATATTTATACCGAAAATGAAAAGAAAACGTTTAAGTATGAACGTGCTAAATTAAAACAACAACTAGATGCGCTAAAAAAACATGAACGTCGTGTTAGTTTACAAATTGATTTTATCACAACAAAAACAGAAATAAAAGGTTTAGAAGATGAACAAAAACAAAATAAGAACAATCAAAATTCAGATGAAATTCAACAATTTAAAATTCTATTGGGAAAATTAAAACAAAAGTTAGATAAAATGAAAATTTATATGAGAACAAGAAATGAACAAATGAAAAAGATTTGTAATTCTAAAGAACATGTAACTAATTCAAATAATAATCGAAAACCATCATTATCATCTAGTCAAAAACAACATTTGTATTCATCATCAACAAAAGATTTGGTAATATTTTATATCTATTTGAAATTTCACTTAGATCTTATTCGAATTTTTCTGATTACCGTGGTAGGATCGAAAACGTCCTTCAACGTCAGTAAATAATCATCCATCGAACAAACGTTTAAAACCAACAGTACCTGTCGTTCGTTTAGCATCGCGTGCAACGAGTCATGATTCAAAAAAGCATTCAAAACCACCACCACCGATTGTACGTTTTGTTAATAAAACATCGAATTCAACAAGTACAACAATGCATTCAACATCTCCGACAACACCAGCTTCATCATCATCGACTCTGTCACCACCTGTAATTGCAAGCAGAAGTCGTGGTGATACAAATAGTACTGAGATTTCTCTAGAACAAGTAATCAATGTTGAAAAAAATAAAAGAAATCAATTTTGTTTTTTGAAATTTCTTCTTCTGTCTACTTCAGAATGAACTACCATCGGTTGATGATGACGATGACCTTGATCTCGAGCTTGACATGGATGAATTATTTGATGATGATTCACGTTCACAGCAAACTCTAGAAAGATTAAAAGCCGAAAAAAATGTCAACTACAAGTCAAACGGAAGTCTTCAAAAACAGAACTTCAATAGAAAATGAAAATGTATATAACTCGACTTCTTCGTTTTTGTATGTACTCAAATCTCGTTGTTTTGTTCTTGCCCGGTCCTTTTTTGTTTTTGTTTATTTCTCTGCACTACTACTATTTTTTTTAAAGCTCGTCATCATACGGTTAATGGATCTAGATGAAGACCACTCATCCTTTTGTGTTCTTTTTTCTTTGATATAATTCATTTGTTCTGTCATTTGTAGTCGTAAAAGAAGTAAAACATAACAACCTACATCATTTTCGTCATTGTAAAATGTTTACATGTGATGATTAAAAACATAAAAATAATTGTTTTATCGGAATGAAGGAATATTTTTGATGTTGCTCTTATAGATTTTTAATTAAATGAGCAGCGCGCTTGATGCATCAGCATCAATTTAAAAAGTGCGTCTACTCAATTTATAGAAAATGAAATGACAAGTATACTATCGAAATCATTGAAAAAAAAGTTTTTATGAGCAATAATTTACTAATTTGAATTGGGAAAAATATTTGTTTTGCTATTGAGCTGATGTTATCTGAAATAATAAAATATGAAAGTTTTTTTAAAAACATCTTCCGCTGAATTTATTAATAAAGAAACTAACGTCAAAAAGCGAATGGACGTCAAATGCTCTCATTAAAACTTTGTTTTAGTTTAACATGAACTATTTATTGGAATCATATGTCATCCTTGTAGATGGTTTAAAATAGTACTGAGCAGAAAATTCCCGCAACATTTTACTTATCAAAAATAAATGATATGAACTTGCAGAAACGAGATTTTTTTTGAGTAAATGGTCATATTTGATAAAAATGAAAAAAAAACATTTTGAATATGTATTATACTGATTTATATTCTCAAATATTTATGTATGTACTTTGTTGTTGTAGATATCAAATACGTCAGAAAAGAAGGATGACATTAACATTCAAATGTTATCAAAATGATTTTTTGATCAAAAATTTAAATATTGCTTCATTCGGAGGTAAATTCTAATTCGAAAAAGAACAAGAATAAGTAGAATGGCTATTTCTAGACTGTTTTGGCTCAGTTATTGCTTGTATGGCTTTTGCACTTTTGATTGAATTAAGTCGAGGTATTGATCTTTATCTTCGAAATTATTCCGTAACACATCGAAGTGGTGATTCACATCGATCAAATACTTTATCAGAAAAGACGATCCAACGGCGAAGGTAGTTCAAAGATAAACTGAAGTTTTCATAATTATTATGTTATTCCTTTTAGATTTATGCTTCATATGTTACGTACACTTGTGCATTTAGCTCAAACTGGTTTAAGTTATATATTAATGTTAATGATCATGAATAATTTTGCTGGTTTTTTTCTTTCTGCTATTATCGGTATGATCTTCTTAAATATATATTTAATTCGAATGAGATATTTATGTTCATTTATTTTAGCGCTTGGAATCGGCTATTATCTTTTAAATGGTGTTCATCCGTATACACGTAGTGCTAATCGTATTCATATGTCAAATGCTAATAGCGATCTTACAAACACAGCAGATATTATTAATGAAGATGATGAACCTTCAGTTGCATCACACCCACCTTCTAGACTTCAGAGAATAATATCGATAAACAATTGATAGATTTCTTTGATTTGATTTTCTTTACTATTGTTTTCAAGTTTCTATCGGCTAAACTATATAGTATTTTTTTTGTGTCGTTCATCTATTTTTTGTTTTACATCTCAGTAATTAAATTCAATACAAATGCTTTTGGCTTGATCGAATATTCATTCAGTCATTTTAATTTCCGTTGCTAAATTCATGAGATGTTCCGATTACGTTGCCTTGCAAAGTAAAGTATGTACGCTTGCGAATAAACATAAGACATTCATGCTGACAGTTTTACATCTAGATTGGAATCTAGAAGAATCTTTTATAAAATATGCTGATGCAGCCCGAAACTCTTACAAAATAGTGGTAGCTGTCTAATTCGAATATAAATGGGGAAAAGAAAAAATTAAACTAAAACTAAATCTAGAAATAGATTTAGTTTTAGTATAACATTCCGATATAGACGACATAAAAATACATATATACCCATACAACCACACCCATACCGCAAGGTATACAACTCAGATGCCACCCCGGGTACCTCTGACACGCACCCATATTTGAGCACTCCTTCATGGTACCCATCACCCACCACTCACGCGCACCGCTATCCATAGTTACCCCTTACTCCCCCTCAACCCACACCCACACACACACCCTAGGCATATCATGGTGTTGCTCGAGTATTAGCTACAGAATACATAGATGTACGGGTATTTAGTGAGGTGACAGTTGGGCATTATTAGTACGATTTAGAATGCAATATTGAATGGTAGGATTTTCTTCGTTCATTCAGCTGGTGATTCTCTTATGAACTTACGTATTAACATTTTCTGAGGTCTACATTTATTTTGATTTTTGGAAATGTTAAGACAATTAGCATTCAATTATTTGTAGACCCATGTGATTCAAACCGGAAAAAACCGGCGGTATACCGATGGTTCACCGTTCAGTATAATGTGCGCTATACCGTCGGTTTTTCATGAAAGTGATTCATCCTTTTGTATAGTATAGAAACGACTGAATATTTTTTACGTCTGTTAAAACCGACACAATCGTGTTGAATTCGGTGTACTCTGATAATATCGATGCGCCTGAGCCGCCTGTAGTAGCCACAGATCTCAAATCAGTCCCATTTATGTGATAAATATTTTATTAAAGATGTTGCTGTAAAAATAATAATTCGCGAAATATATTCTAATATAGTTTTTTTTTTGATTAATTCGAATTCTTTTTCCGAAATAAATCGGTACTTGACAAAAAACGATTTCTGGATGACTTTTTAGCTGGAACCAGAGCTTATAAGCGCTACCGCCGGTTATTATGAGTACCGCAGTATACTGATGGTAGTGACAAGAAATGTGCGACATGGGAATTTCTTCTATCCCATTTGACTAAAAATCAAGCTCAATAGATATTTACGGTAGTTTTTGTTTTAAAAGTTGCATGTTTGACTGAGTAATTCCAGCGTACTGTTGGTTATGACACATCTTGGAAAATTCCTCTATTCATTTAATAATGTAGATAACATATCACCTCGTACAGATACCTGAAGTAGGAAGAAAGAATATTGAAGCAAAAGAAAATAAATGAATTTGATATAAAAAAAACATTCTATATCAAGACTGGTGCACGTTAAACGACTTCACACTTGCTTTTCAATTCATTTTATTTTTAAAGTCAACAAAAATGATAGAGATAACCATTTTCAGTCTTCTTTTTCAGAGTAAAAAGTTTGACTGATATGAGAAAGATTTTTCGAGGAGGTATTTCTGAAATGAAATGTTGAATATTTTTGAAAAGAATTCTCAAGATTTGATAACTACTGTTCTTCAAATTTCGACAGAATAGATATGTGACATACTTATTAGATTATTTACAGCAGTCTACCAATGAAGATATTATTTAGTATTACAGATAAATCATTTTACTAATTCTGTGTTATTTTCTATTTACAGATTCATCATGAGGATATCCATCGACACGATTTGTACTGGCAAAGAGCGACCTTTTGACTTTGACGTCGAATCGTCTACAACAATTAAACAGTTAAAAGAACTTTTTTTCGAAAAAGTTCATAATATCACTACAATTACAGCTGAAGATTTACAGAAATCATATTTTGATTTTGAAAGAGATAAACTTGACACTGACGAAAATACTTTAAAAATATATGGTGTAGAAGAAAAATCTCGATTAAAATACGTTGAATCAACGAACGGACCGTCTCGCGATCCAAATAGCTTAGGCGGTGTTGGAGTCAAATTTGTTGATGTTAGTAACGAAAAAGGGTTACAACGAGTAGAATGGTCTAAAAAAGCTCCAGAATGAAGAAGAGTGGACCGTGGTTTTGTTCTTGAAGGTACATGTACGCATCCAAAATGCAAAGCAACCCCAGGTCGTGGACGTACGGCGGGAAACGGCCGGAAAGCACAGGAAAGCGCTGGAAAGTGGAAGCAGTATTCCAGTTGGAAGTCACCGGATTTTCTTCCTGTAGATTCCGATCAACTTCCAGATGTAAAACACAGAAAACTGACCGGAAAACACAGGAAACTGACCGGAATCCACAGGAAAAAAATCCGGTAACTTCCAACTGGAATACTGCTTCCAGTTTCCAGTGCTTTCCCGTGCTTTCCGGCCAGATACGGTGATTTTTCCGCATCTTTCCGGCCGGTTCCTACAGTATCCGTCCTCCGGAATCATTGACCTGGGACAGGGCAAATGGTGGCCATATCAATGCACTACCGGGATTACGATATTACATCCGAGTCTGATCTCCTAAAAAGTGTATGTCCAATGTGTAAAGAATATGTTGATCCAAAAACGTGTGGCTTCAACAATTGTTGGTGGAGAATAGATGGCACCCAAAAAGAAGGCGGTAAACCACCAAAATCTATTAAAAGTGAATGGAGATACGCTGATAATGCATATCATTATTTTGATGAAAAGCTCAGTGGTACAACTTCATGGCTTCGACTCACGTTTGAATGTGTTAAAAACAAACCTCTGTTATGAACTTACCTATTACTGAACATTATTTTACTGTATAATAATAGTGCTTTCAATATTGTATTTTTTATCATTTGATTCGCGCGATCTACTTTCTAAACACTACATGTAAATTTTTACGAAAAAAATAAAAGTGTTATAAACCAAAAAGCTTGACCGTGAGTATTTTCATGGCTTCGATTCATTCTTTAATACCCGGAGGCGCGAGGGGATATGGCTAAATGACTGCTGCTCTTTACTTCACTTAGACTCATCTACTATAATAATTACGAATGTATGAACTATTGTAACTGCTTTTTATCTCTGAAAAGTCCTAAATATCATCTTTTTCTTATCGTAAAATATCGTTTTACAAGTTTAGAATTAGAAATTTGCAAATGATCAGAATTTTGTTGAGAAGACTAATTGAGTAAACGAGTAGTTGCTGTTTGTTTTCTAGGTTAAGTAGCGCACTACCTTGTAAACTTCTATCAAGATACCGATTTTTCATCATCTTTCTCAACGGCTTAATTTATACGACGCTTCACAATAAACTAAGTAGTCTATCTAGGTATGGTAAGATCGATGTTCAGTAAGGACGATCTCTGTATCCCTGAACGTTCTTGATAACTGCAGGCAGAGATAGGCAAGTCAAAGGTTTTTTGGCTTCAGTAAAGTCAAATCATTTCTCAAAAATTCCAAGGCAAGTCATCTTAGAAACATGAATAGCTTTTTAATGTTGACGTAAAAGAAAAACAACGTATTGTTTGGTTTTAAACTTCAAAAATTTGTCGTTTTTTCAACTGTAACTATGTTAAGAAATAATTTACAAAATGTATCACAATACCGTTTGAGTTATGTGAATTTTGATTGTAATTTATTATGCCACTGTTTTTTGGAAATGCTGGATGAGTTTATTGTTGTACATGGTGCAATGGTTTCGTTTGACACAGTAGATAGATATTGATTTTGGCCATTCATATTTGACGAAACACGATTTATTCGTTCTACCATTTCAGATGTTGCTGAAAAAATATTAGTAACTGGCGATATTGGAAAGTCTTTGTTCATAAGGGAAGTAGAATCTTGTACTTCTTGTGAGTTTGTTATATTGTGATCAGAAACGATTGTGCCTATAAAATAATTTTTTTATACAGACGAATATTGTGTTGTTTACTAGAATACCGTTTAGAATTGTACCTATAGAATTTGATTGGATATTATTTTCAATATTGTTTACTAAAAAGGAAAGAACATTTATTAGTTCAACTCTGTTTTTAGTTATGAATAAAATACTATTGATTTGTTTGATCATATTACTTTGAGTAATAATAGATAATTGTTCAGTAAGATAGGAAGAAATATTAAAAGGTGAGTTAGATTCTACGATGATATGATTAGATATAGTTTCTTGATTATTGGTTATTTTGATTTGAGAATAAGAGTTAGATGATCTTGAACTGAATTATCTAAATATTTAACATACCCAGGTGAATCAATCCGATACCGAATCCCATCGGATTCTATGGGGTCCTACCATCCAACGAAATCCCGTTGGATTCCGGTTGAGGAATCAATGTCAGATCCGACAGTCGTATATCCAATGATATCCGATTGTCGGAACCAATGAAATCCGAAGCATTCCGGTTTCTATTGACGGTTACTGTCGAATCTTATTAGGATCCGATATCGATTCCGGAACCAGGAATCCGACGATAATCCGATAGTTTTCTTGCGCCTTCGGAAGAGCTCCGTCGGATTCTAATAGGAGCCGATCGAAACTCATCGGATCCTAGGCTAGGATTCATTCTCCTGGGTATACCTATTATGACTGTAAAAATGAAAATTCATCAGAATACTAAATGTGACATTATTAGATGTTAACATATGACTAACACTGATTTCAGATGCCAAATGTGTAGATGTTTCATTTTCATCAATTCAATGTACATGTTTTTAATGTGTTTGAATCGCTTAATATTGAAATATTATGTTGATTTGGTAAAATTAATTCTCTATTTATGTTCACTGTTTAATAATGAAAATAAGAAAATGAATTCAAATCGATGAATTTTTTTTAACAATTACTTATGTTTATGTTATTCGCTTCTACATTAGTAACTCTCAAGTTAGTTGATGTAGTATTATTCGTGTGTTTTTCATTATAATTTTCATTTGACATTGAACCTTTTGTTTAATGTGAAAAAAAATTGTTAGTTTAGTTATGAATGTAAGAAAGGAACGATGTCGTGGTGATGTTTAAAAAATATATATATACTATGCAGAAAACGTTCTGGATATTTTGTTTTCAATTGTTCATGTAAAAGTTGATGTTCAGATAACATTAATACTTCTTCTCTCATTTTTGTTAAAATGTGCTTGTTTTTTATTTGAGGGTGTGAGTGTGGGTGTGGGTGTGATTGAGTTAAACATGCAGTTACATCCACATCCACATCCACACTCTCAAGTAAAATTACTTGTACTACAAAAATTTACTTTGTACTTAATATTTTCAAGTAAAAAAGTACAAAAGTACCAAGTATAATACTCAGTATCCAGTGTCTGATTCTGATATTCATTTGCAGTTATAGTTGCATATATAATTGTTGGTGTATTATGGTTCGACAAATGTATTATTCAACTACTTATATCAACTTATCTAATCGTGACAGGCGTGGTCGGGATTATTGCTATAGTATTAGGTATTTTTTATAAATTCTGCACCATGATCTACTAATAAAAAGACAGCAGATGTTAAGCTGGCAGTAAAATCTGATCTAATTATTGGCAAGCTTGGTGTTACTGCTGGTAATGTATTGGTAGGAATATCATTGATAGTTATTGTGATATTTATGATTGGTTGGTTTATTCCTGGTTGAATTTGGGTATTTGGTGCATTTGGTGAAGCTCAATATGATCAACCTGATAAATCTGATTATTGTTATCGAACATTATATTCGTTTGGATGTTTTGCCATTTTGTCGCCACTTATAGATTGTTGCATGGCATGCTGTCGTAAATGTTTCGTAGCAGGGCTACTTCTGACAACAAAGAAAAAAGATGGTGCTATACCTGTATCAACAACAGAACCATAATCAAGACTTTAGAATCTCATTATAGGTTTTCTTTCTTCCTTTTGATTTATCAACAGTATTATCATGCTTAATAAACATTAATTATTCACATTATTTGAGTATATCCGTAAATAAAACATGAATCTATAACCGTAATATATTTACAATGAAAAAAAAACAAGTTAACAAATTATATGTTATTTCTCTTGTTCATTTCAATCATATATCTTTATATAAAACATAATTAATCAATGGACGCATTATTGGTAAGTTCAAAAGATCTTTTCGTTTGACCCCAGAATAAGTGTTTATTGCTGATCGACAAAAACATTTCAATGATAATGGTTGATTCGTAGATATTGTGGAGAGAGTTGAAAACAGATGAACTTCACCATTACGATTACTGACGGCCATAGTGTTGCCGTTAGGCGTGGTTGCAACATGAAGAACATTGGGTTCTGTTTGTTCATATATCATATTTGAAGATTGATCGGAGAGTAAAGGAAACCAGCGTACTTTGCTAAAGTAATAAAGATGATGTTAGTAGAAGATATTTTTCATTGAATTCTTACTTATCATCACATGCAGTAATTAAAAACTGATTAGACTTTGTAATAGCAACAGATCGAACAAATGCACCGTTATCACCGCCAGCATAGATTTTTAATGGTTTTGGAATTTTATGTGCGAATCCTTTTAGAATTTCGCCTGTTGTTGTCGACCACATTAAAACGCGTGTATCATAAGAAGCAGTTACTAAAAATGCGCTGAACCAAAGAACAAACATATAAATATATATATTAGATTAATATATTAATAATCGCGAGTTACCTATCTGATGAAAATGCACAATCAACAACAGTATGTAAATGTCCATCTAGTCGAAATAGTTCTTTCCATGTTGTCGTATTAAATAAAACAACTAATTCATATGGTCCCACTGCACATAGAATCGTTTCATCTGGTGACCATTTTACTGTATTGATGGCATGAGTCCATTCATTTAATGTTTTATACATATTACCTGAGATTAGAAAAGAAAAAAGTACTGAGACAGATGTCACTATTAAAAGAATTTTAATTTACAGGTAAAATAAATACTGATTATTTATCAAAAAGAAAAACAAATAAATAGATAAGATGAAGAATATACATTAGAAGTAAATTATGTATCAGATTTTGTTTTTAAGTTGAGAGTAAAATTTTGTTTCAATGAAAAAACATCAGAACAGTCGATGATTATACAGAATTTCAATTATGTAAATAAATAAGTTGAAAATTTATACGAATTGTAAACATTTTCAAGCAAGGATTTTTCTTATGTATTTGATTATTGTCATGTATTAAAGTCATCTTCTTACAAACCGAAAATTTTCACGAAGACTTTTTTCGGGGTGTGGGTGTGAGGAAAGGCGACATACACGTCTACACACCCATACCCTTGCTCAATCAATTCTAATGTAAGTTATTTTTCTTCTAATTCTATATTTTATTTTTATTATTAGTTTATCCATTGTTTTTTTCTTCTCTTACCATCATCAAATAGATCCCATAATTTAATAGTTGTATCATATGAACATGATGCTAATTGCATCGTACATGATGTAAAATCTAGTCCACATACAGTTAATTGATGATCTTTAAGTACTAATATTAATTCACCAGTATCAATATTCCAAATTTCGATTTTCCCACTGGCTAGACCAGCAGCAAGAAATAAGTTTTTACTAAAATCATATCGACGATTAACTACAGATAAGCTTGAACGTCGATCAAGTGATCCACGTCGTGCTATTGATGTTGATAAAGTGCTCGTATCAAATAGACGTAGGTCTATGGGTAGATTTGATTTTGATGTTCTCTGACCGAATGCTAATGACCATATTGCAGCTGTACAATTGAACTGATTGTGTATACGCATAGTACTTTCAGTGACATTTTTTGCATGCCAATCAGAACAATAGACGACAAGAACACAATGTTGACCATCAATATCTTGTTTTGGTATAGCCAAATATTGTGAGCATGGTGAAAATGCTACTTTCCATATGTTATTTGTTAAAAAATCTGGCGAATTACATTTTTCGTGTAATAATTGATTTACGGGTAAAATAGAAGGTTGTACTACTATAAAAAAAAATGATTATTTTACAATTAGAAGAATATTAAATTATACCTATTACAGGATTAGACATAGATTAGAAAAGAGATACAAAACAATTTTAAAAACAAACACGTCCGAATATAACAATGTCTAGAATAAAACAAAAATGAATGTTCGTAATACACGAAGCAAGTGACACCTCTCGAAACTGATAGGAGTCAAAGAAAAAAAATTATCTATTGCTTAGTTTTTTAGTCATCGACATCATCATAATGTTCGATTAAAAAATAGTTCATGTTTATTTTTAGATAGCATATCATTTTTTACATACTTTTCAGATGCAGCGATTGTTTGCATTGCTTGTTGTCGTTGTTCTTACTAAAATTAACGGCAATCCAGGCGATTTTCGTCCTCCAGCAGTGCCATTGATTGTATTTAGTCCTCATATATCAGGTGAGTCACAATGCGACGCCCGTGAGGAAGAGAAAAGGCTTTTTTCATAGCACTATTGTCAAAACGAACCATCTAACCTTTTAATCCGTGGACTGCTGAACAGTAAATAAACGTTCGTTTCTAAAACTTAGGCAATGCAACACACTTATGCATTATATTATACACACGCGTTCTGCGTATAAAATCTGACTTNAACGTTGTGAAACACGAGATAAATAGAACAAAATTAGATCAGGTTTCAAATGAAACAAAAAAACTGTTATTGATTATGAATATTTTTTTAATTATGTATAAATTAAAAAGGAAGGAAGGTTGGCTAGTAAAAAGCCAACGACAGCACCACCATGAGCTACTAGATTAGGAGACTTCTCAAATATAAAGATTCATCTAAAGATAGTAAAGCACAAGGATTACCTGCATAAACAGTACTCATTACATGTATCGCTACCATGCTAAGCCTTTTCAGTGAATCATACAAAATTAGTGACATCTATATTATGTTTTTATCATTAAATCCAAATTCCTTTTACATATTTCTTAGTTGGCGTTTTTTATTTGGAAATAAATTAGAATCTTAATTCGTAGTGCGTGTGTATGTAGTAAGTGTAGCTCAGAAACAAATTTATGATACGACACCAATCCGTTACACCAGACCACAGATCATTTCATTTCTACAAGAGTAAAGGACGTTAAGTGCTGATATTTTTTTTTACCCCATTATGATTGTCCAGAACGGAGGGAGAAAAAGAGTAACTCGATTAATCTTGAGACTCAAATATAATTCAAGTGAGCGTCATACTCTTTTATCATTCTGTGGTTCGTTTATCTGTTCTTTTATTTTCGAACTCTATTTACGTCATGATTACAGTTTCGTTTCTAATAATAAACCAATAAAAACAAATGCCCAAATGATAAGCAGTTTGTCTGGCTACGAATATATGATAAATAACTAATCATGTACTAAATGAACTTTTCTTTCTCTAAATCGACTACTTTTAATATAGAAAAATAATATTTGTTAAACATCAAAACCCAACTAGATTTTACAAATTAATAAAGTTCTTCGTGTACTCGATGGAGATCTGTGAGAGGAAGATAAAAGTTTTTTTTTTATTATTACCAGATAATGCACTTGAATCAGAATTGATTAAATACCGTTTTCGTTTTTTCTCGAATAGTTTGGTCAGCTTCGGACAACCTGACCGATTCTGATACCGTTCATTGGAGTGGATCCCCACTTCCATTTCATGGTTTAATCGATATCGATCATAATCAAACATATCGTTTTCTTGGAACTCTACCATCAAATATTCCACCTTTAATACAAAACAGTGTTGTTGTACTACCATGGCGTACAATCTATAACTTTTCAACGCCAACGAATTCAGTTGAACTTATTTTATCATTTAGTCAGCCAACATCAATTGAAGATCCGTATACTTACATCACATTTGACGTTCGTACACTGGATGAACAACGTCATCATGTCCAAATTTATTTCGAAGAAGGTTCTATGTTAAGTATTAATGATAAACATGAAAAAATCTATTGGACTCGAATCGACGAAGGTGTAACTGTATTAACAATGGGTGCTTACAATCAAATTCCATTTGGTATTCGTGGCGATTCAACTCGAAATAATTGGGGTTATGCGCATTTAATAACTTCAAATAGAAGTACAACAAATGGTTATCAAGGTTTTGGTGACAATCTTCGTCAAGCATTTGTGAATCATCAAGCAATGCCAAGTGACGATACACGAAAACCACGTCATGCTGATGACCAATCGCCTTCATCAGTATTCATAATCGATTTAGGTCTAGCTTCATCACAGTCCACTTCATCATATTTGACCTTTCTCTACGATGATGTTTATTCAATGTTATATTTTCAAGATTGGCAAATACCATGTTGGCGTACCGAACTTAATAATAGTGTATCAGCACTTATAGATGAAGCTGTTCTATATTACAACACAAATATGGCTGATGTTACTGATTCAAATCTATTATTGACTACATTATTAACAGATACAGGTGGAGTACAATATTCATTACTTGGTTCGCTTGTGACAAGACAAATTACCGGCGCAATGACACGCACATGGTCAGATAAACATAATCGTCCACAATTATATATGAAAGAAATTTCATCCGATGGTGATGTTAGTACAGTTGATGTTATTTTCCCATCATCGCCATTCTTTCTTTGGTTACATCCTGAAATGTTACGTGACGTTCTTATACCTGTTCTTGCTTATGCTAATAATGAAACAAGTATTGATTATAACCTAGCATGGGCTCCACATCATTTGTAAGTGGAATTTAAGTTTTTGTCTTTGATGAAACATAAGTTAGAAAGACACTGAAGAAATGAGTAATGTGAAGCTGTCTCTTTTCAATTAGAAATAATAACCATTTCAGGTTTCAGTTATTTTTCTCAATCCGGCAAATATTGACTTCGAATTTTTTCATGTTAATTTTTAGAGGAACATGGCCAGTTTGTGATATATTTCCTGATGAACAAGAACAAATGCCTATGGAAGAATCTGCAAATATGTTATTGATGCTTGCTGGAGTAGTACAAAGACTTGCAAAATCTGATTTCCTTGACCCCTATTGGAATACGATGGAAATATGGGCACAATATCTGAATAGTACATTACCAGATCCAGGAAATCAACTTTGTACCGATGATTTCGTATGTAGTCTTCATACCATTTTTCAGCAACAGCAGCCACTGAAATGATTTTCTTGATTTAGGAAGGACCATCACCACATAATTGTAATTTAGCATTGAAAGGTATATTAGGATTAGGTGCTTATGCCATTCTCTTGAATTCAACGGGGCAAACACAGCGTGCTACGATCTATATGAATCAAGCACAAGCTCATGGTATGAAATAAAATCTAACAGTTGAACAATTTTCATTTCTATCATTTGTTTTTTGAATTTTATTTTAAAAGCAAATTATTGGTTGTCAGCTGCACGTGATGCTGAAAATTATCGTCTTCAATATAATTTACCAAATACTTGGTCACAAAAATATAATCTTATCTATCAAAAAATTTTATCATTGAACTTATTTCCATCCGATGTTGCTCAAATAGAATCAAATTATTACATGTCAAAAATGCTTGATTTTGGTATTCCACTTGATTCACGTTCAGCATTGACCAAGGCTGATTGGACATCATGGATAGCTACATTTAATAATAATGAAGAACAAGAGAATCAAATATTCAGTAAATTATATAAATTCGCACATGAATCACCTGACCGTGTACCATTGAGTGATTTCTATGACGCATCGAATGGTCATGTACTAGGTTTTCGTGCACGGCCAGTTATGGGCGGATTGTTTGCTCGAGTGTTATTAGATAATCCGCTTATAGAGAATATTTATACTAAATCGAAAAGGCCTCTGCAACGTCATGGACGAATCAACAAATGCGATATATCATAATTTTCTAATTATCAATTAAATATATCGAAAAAAAATTGACTTCTTTTTTATTATTAGTCTATAAAAATGCATTTTTTTTCAGCTAGATAACAACGACATGATTGTTTTTCTGTAATATCTAGTATTTAATTTTTATTGGTTGAAGTATTCTTTTTTTTGTGATACACTAAAATAAATTCGTATGACATTAGCTATATGTTGTATTGCAGAACCACATTGATAGAATAGCGTACACCCGCTTAACACATATTAGCGGAGAATATTTCACATTGTATCATATTTTCGAAATTCTATGACTGTTTCTTCATTCAATGAACAAAAATTATCTAAATTTTTTAAAATAGACTGTTGAGCAGACGAAAAACAAATTTTATTTGATTCTCTATGTGAAATTTTAATGATCGATATTAATTCTTCAAACTCTGCAACAGTGGATTATGCTGCGGTTTCATTGAATATTTGACATGGACAAAAGCAGAGAAACCCCATTGGGATAAAAAAAACATGAGTTAGTGTATTTGATGAATTATGGAATGTTCTTTGACGATTTATAATGATAAACAGGAGATGAATAAATGCAATATATATTTATTTTGATTGATAATTTTTATAGGTAGATATCTACTACAACAATAAAGATACACATGTGACCAGGAAACAATGAAACTATGCCTTGAAGTTCATCTGGTTTTCCAACGAAATATCAGATTTTTTTCTACTGAACATTGTGAAAGAAGCAAACATTCTGATGAAATATATACAATTTTTAGATAAATAATCCTAGTCAAAAACGTCAAAAAAATTAAATTGAAAAGACACTATACGATAAAGTATAGGTATCGAGTTCAAAAATACTCTGCATACATTTTTCGTCTAGTTAGAAAATTTTAATAGACTCTCAATCCATAAATTGAAAATATATTTTGATCACCTACGACACCTTTTGAAAATTTTCTCCTTTCTTTTATGATGGATATAACGTGGACTAATGGATTTCACTTTGGTTAGTTAGCACGTATATCAGTTCAAATTCATTTCAAACTAGTTTCAAGAGAACGCGTCAGTTCTTTCTTATCAGTCTATGAGTTTTTTTTTCATAAAAGCACTCACCATGCTCACTAGCACTATCCACACATACAGCAAGCAGTGTGTGCAGGATAAAGTATTTGTCTAAAGTAAAATATTACTACATCTTTTAGTTTATAGATAAAGTCAAAGGTTGCGATAATAAATATCTTCAGTAAATATAATAAATTTTGTTCTTCTAAAACAAAAATGCTTCAGTGTTACTGTTATTCAGTATGATAACGTTGGTTTCGATTAGAACAAAAGCTATAGCCTCGCTGTTCATGTGTACAAATGATGTTCGATGAGCCAAGAACACAAGCTATTTATTTCATCATTTTATTCATTCTAGATTTATCATGCCTAGCTCAAAACAAATTCAAAGTCCATTCTATGGCTTTCTATTTTGTACTTTTGTAATTGTTCTTGCAAGTATATTAATACAAACACGTAATTCACCACCTCTAAATGAATATCTTCCGAAAACAATTGCATCAACAAAACCATATGCAACATTTGAAGAATTCTATCCACATTATTTACTTGAACATTCTAAACAAACGACTCGAATATGGCATTATATTGGTACAGCTCTTGTTACCACTTATATGTTATGCAATCCGATTCTGATAGTTTCATTATTATCAGCAGGTTTAGCTGCTTTTTCTCTTGTACCGTTTCTTCGCCATTTACCAAACGGTTTATATGAAATGGGTTTATTTTTAGTACTCTATCTTCTTGGTAGTAAATTATTAGCACGTTCGTTTAAAGCAGCTATTGTACCACTTGTATTGGGATATAGTTTTGCTTGGATTGGTCATTTTTATTATGAACATAATAAGCCGGCAACATTCATATATCCAGCATATAGTTTAATGAGTGATTTTCGAATGGTATATGAAGCTGCTAAAGGACAATTTTCTTGAAAATGTCTTTTATTATTATTAAATAAAACAATAGCTGATGATTTTTTTTCACTTAATAAAAATAAAGAATATTTTTCTAATTTTCCAGATAGAAAAAGAAGAAGAAATGAATTTATCAACTAGTGATCTATCATTTTTAAGTGATCGGTGAGAGAGAAATAGACATTTGCTTCTAGAGAGTGTGTTTGTATTTGTATTTTTCTTTTCTACAAAAATACTATAGTTCTCGACACCGATCGATGATATCAGCTGGTTTTCAATTATCATCAGCGTCATCAAATTCACCATTTGAACAATATTCATCAAAATTGCCAGCATCTGTACGTGGAGCACTCAATCATACAGCAGGTTCGATATAAATATATGAATTAATACTACCAAATAGGCTGGTATGGATAGATTCGAAATAGCTCTCCCTATCTAATTGAAATATTTTTTGAAATTGTTCTAAAAAGTATTCAATTTTATATTTAAATAGTTTGTATCTATTTCATAGATGTTTCATTATTGAGCGCTCGATTTTCACGTAATGGCTATTGTTGGCTTGTCTCAGATCAAACAGCATATGTTTGGCTTGCTTCTAGTTCAAATCGAATAACTGTAAATAATTCAATGCCATTTTTTTTCTCAATTTTTCTCATAATTTATCTTTTCAGGATGCTCTTATTCATCAAGAACTTAAATTACCTGAATGTGCTCTTGGACAACAAGCAAATTTAATAGAATTGTTTTCAGTCAATGCTGATGATGCTGATTGTTGTTCGTGCCTCGTAATAACATGTGATGGTTATGCTCGTTATTGGCGTACAATTGTACGGCCAAATGATTACTATGATGTTAAACTTGAATTTGATCAGATTGAAATTCTATGTCATTTTAAAGTAATAAAAACAAATAATTTTGCTTCTATCATAAATAGTTCGGTATTTCAGGATGATATTTGTGTTTGCGGTTCGTATTCTGGAAGATTATATACAATTCCATGTAATGCATTGTGTAATAAGGCAAGATATATCATAGAAACGGATTTTGTTTGCTTATTAAATATGTGATAAATAGGCTTATATTCGTCCATCATCATCATCATTATTATCATCGATTGGTTTTGGATTAAAATCAATGTTATTCGGTACAAGTCGTCAAATGAAAGATAATGAAATTCTTCGTTGTCTTCATTCATTAAAAAATGATACATCAACACCAACAACAATATCAATGAATGTAGATTTAATATCATTAACAGATAAACATTTATACTTTTGGTATTTAGCCGAAAATGAAATTCAAGTAAAATTATTATTGTTGATTGATTCGTACGTAAATGTTTAGTGTTCATTTTTCTTTTTGTATTTCATAGCTTGTACATTCACTTGATCTTCAGCAAGTATTTGCTCATGAAGCAGCAAAAGATCAAGTTAGTAGTTAAATAAAATTAATTGAATACACATGAAAAATTATTTAAATTTAGAAACCAAATGATAATCATCGAAATGTTTCATGCATTTCATTAAGTGTAACACAGTATGTCATATAGACTATTTTTTAATCATAGTAAAACAATTATTTTATAGAGAAACAATTTATGTTCTTGCGATTCATCATGGTTCACAAGATTATCGTTTAATGTTAGGTAAGATAATTGAAAGAAAAATTGTCTTAAATACTTTTCTTTCTTTTTGATAGGCGTATTTTCATTGAATCATTCCGGTGTTCAACTTGTTTCATTTGTGTTTCTTACTAATCATCTTAATATTCGTGTAAGTTTTTTTATTATGACTGATATTAATAACTCGAAACAAATCGAATTTTACTTAAAAAGTTATTCATGATCTCACGTAGATATGCACAAGTCTCAATGAGAATGATGTTGATGTATTTTCTAACCTAATACGAGAGCGGATTAGTTAGAAAACAAACAGTTCACTATCGAGTATGAAGTACTTTCTACGATTGTTACTTTAACATTTTTAGATTTCACTCCCAAATATAAAAAAAAGTTTCTTTATTTAATTATTCATTTTATTTTCAGTTGGATGAACTTATTGTCAAACCACGTGTACGAATATTTGCTGTACCAAATCAGCCGGCACTACTTGTTCATACGAAAAAAGATGCTTTTGTTTATACTGGTAAGATATTAAACTGATATTTCTTTATGAAAATTCGTACCGTTTTGTTTTTAACCAATAGGACCAGATTATTCAGTACTTCTTCGTGCTAGTTTTACGAATTTAAATGAAACAATATTAGGAAGTGGCCTATGTGGACAACGTTTGTTAATGTTCGGTCATGTGCAAGGTTTGATAACACCACGAGCACAAGATTTAATGACAAAGTAAGAAAATTAACATGAAATAAGAGTTAACCATTTTATGAATTTTAGTTTACTGACGAAAAACGCTGACAATGATCCATATCAACCGATGATTAATGCTTTTCATGCATTTCTTATTCGAAATGATCCAGTAAGGATTCTTTTCTCCGCATTGACTAGAATAATAATAATTCATATCTGTAGGGTGGTGCTGTTGAATTATTTCGACGATTTCTAAGTGTCATTGATACAACTCAACTAGATGATATTGTTGTACGATTTGGAATTTTTATTATTGATGATCCATCATTGCAAGGTTAGAAATACACTTACGTTAGATTTCAATGTGTGATAGATTTTTATTTTTATTTAGAAACAAATGATTTAACAAGACAATTAGAAAAGAAAAATGATATCTATAATTATTATTTCTCATTTCTTAAATTAATTGCGGTGTGGAATAAAGTAAGAAAAAGAAATTACATTGTAAAATTTTCTTGTCGAGAAGCAAATATGTATTGCTCAAATGTAACATACAATTATGCATGTGTTTAAAACAGTTTTCCATTAAAATTAAGTTATTATCTTGATTGGAAAAATGTTCTAGTTCGCATAGAACGTAAAAAACCCAATCAGAACTGAAAAAAGTAATATTTCAGGGTCTGATTGGTTTTGTCCAAAATATACTCATTCATGATTGATCACTATTATTCGTAGGAAAACCCGCTAGAGTTAATAATTAATTTCAAAGCATTGGTTTTGAAATTTTGTTTTTAATACTAATTTATTTAGCTTCATGTTGCACATTTCAATAATGGAATCTATCATACGAAACAAATCTTACAACAGTTCGGTGAGAAATTACAATGTGCTAAAGCTTTTGCTCAAGCAAGCCAGTGTGTTACTATAATTTGTTTTTCTACTCGTGCTATTATCTATATTCTATTATAGACAATCGCTTTATTTGCAAGCAGCCTTCCGGTCAAAATCTCGGCATAGTCAAGTAAATAATCTCAAAGAATCAAATAGATATTTTCAAAAACTATTCATCTTTAGATTTCTGATATATCTGAAGTCATAGCAACAATTATCGTTGGTGTTATTGAAGCAAGTCGTACGCTTGAAATTCAATCTTATGAAGAAGCAACACGTTTGCTATTGATTGCATTTGATAGTATACAAAAATATCGTCAAGATCATGAACAAGAATCAGTTATATCATCGAATCCAATTGATGACGAAAATTTTACACAATCAATCATTTGTCAACCATGGATTTTATATGAACAAAATCTTCATGATTTATATGTTTTACATGTAAGTATTTTTTTGTTTTGTTTCTGAATATCGAATAGTGAGGCGAATTGAAAGAAAGCACATAGAAACTGCTGGGAAAATTTATTTAAACCATTAGACTAGTTATCGAGTCCGAATGTCTGTCTCGTTCGCATTTTATGCTAACTTTTCAATGGCGATCAAATGTTTATGGCAACTTGAAAACAGTGTTCAAAACAATAAATCCTAGAATCAGTTGAAGTATAGAGGCTAATAGGATAGGCATCGAATACAGGATTAAACCTTCCATTTGAAATTAAAAAGGATAAGTCTTTTTTTTAGTGTACTCAACATTTTGAACAAGCATTAGAATTATGTGAATCACATGAAGTTCGCGAACGTTTACTAACAATGATCTCTCGACTTGTCTATAATATTCTTGATGAATATCGAGTTTATGTATGTGATCTTTATTCAGATGGTGAATCAAATAATGATGCAGAACAAAAACCGTGGATTAACTATAAACAAAAACGAAGTTCATTAATAAAAATATTCAGTAAATAGTATTTCTTTTTTAAATTTATATTTAAGAATATCATTTTTTTATTTTAAAGTTAAATTGAAAGAATATTCGAAAGGTAAACAATTGGCAGAAGAATTTGAAGATTATCTAGCATTAATTGAAATATGTGATGACATAAAAGATACTGAACAGTTGAGAACATATATTGAACAATATGGAGACAAAGTAAATAGCTTTTCTTGTCTTAATAAAAAGCCGAAACATTCGATCATATTGTAGTTTATGGTTGTATTTGACGATTATTTACGATCGAAATCAGTATTATCTGTTTTATTTCAAGAAGAATATTTCGATTTAAAATCTGTTCAACGTTATTTAAAATCAAAACCAGAATTCGCCTGGATGGTTGATGTAAAAAATCGAGATTATGAGCATGTAAAAATGAGAATAACTTCTTTTTTTTCTCAAAATTCAATTGGCTATTATCATATTTAGGCTTCTCTCTCAGCTTTACAACAAGTTGCCGAAACAATCGGTAAACGTCAAGTAAGATATTCTTTTAGTACTTACTTATTTAGTTATTTATTATTCTTTTTTGAATAGACTCTTTTGGCTGTTAGCAAATTCGCATTACTGGCTAGCAGTCATAATGAAGTACGAAATGCTGAAGCTATTAAATTACGTTTACGTTTTATTGAAAACGAAGAAAATCTTTGCCAACAAAGACTTGATCTTTTATCGAATGTAATAAGAAATTGATGATCACTTCATTAATAGATGATTTTTTTTGTATGTTTAGCTCGATGAAAGTGAACGATTGAAGCAACCACTAATTAGTCCAAAAGATATGATAAAGGTTCATGCGTTTTAAATCGAAAAAACGAATCTTCTGTTTATTAATTGTTATTGATTTACTTTTAGAATTTAGTATTGAAGAAAAATACATCACAATCATTATTACAACGTTATTGTAGTGCTTTGAAAATACTTTCTCAAATGGAGGTATGAAATTGTTTATGTTTTTAGTCTAGATCAGAATTCTATTTGAAAAAAAATCAAGTTTTTATTATAGTTATTTAACGATTATTACAGGCGTTTTTTTTAAATATATTTAGAATTCTTTTTAAAGTACGATTTGAAAGCTTATTCACATATAACAATGGTGTGTTTTTAGTTTATTTTATTAATATTAATATTAGTCATTTCTTCATTATGTCAGAATTGTACGTCATAAAAGTCACGTTTTGTCATCGACAATTATTTGATCTAGTAACCAACTATTAAAAATAATTCTCATATTTGTTATTATGTCGATGAAGATTTAGTAGTTCTTGTATAGGAGACAGAATCTTTTGCTCTATAGAGATATCTAAACTTTTAAGATGAAGATGTTTAGTCAAAGATACCACATTTTAGAGAGTAAAAATATCTACATACAATTAAGTGCTTAGTCTTTTAGGAAATGTTTGAACTATATTCAATAGATGGATCTGATAAAAAAAAGCCTATTTTGTAAGCTTATAAAATAGAGTCCGGATAATGCGCTGAAAATAATTCCCTATGACTATTCATCTAAGCCTATATTTAGATGCAATCGTAAGCGGACGATCTTAAGTTAAGCAGGATTAGTTAAAGCTTTTCTGCATCGAATCTTAAGCCACTATAAGATTCGATGTAGAAATAAAAATTTCAATAAAATACTATTTTAATTGTCGATAAGATTTCCAGAAATGCCAATTACTAATCAGATCAATGATATTCAATATTTGTTTTTGTTATGTTATCGGAGCCATTAGTGTTTTTATATTAGATATCGATGAGTAATTCTATTTCGATTTCTATATTGTCTAATATTTGATTTTCATGCAACAATAAATGGTCGTAGATCATCTACCATTTGGTATTACCAAGGGCATAATGGTAATACTCTTAGATAAATACAAATTCCAATAAATAAAAACACACAATCTGTTTATCCTATTTTCCGATGAAAATGTGTTACCGGTGTTTTCTTTTTTCTTCATAGAGTAATCCGGATTTCGATCAACTTCGTTTATTTATATTTGCTCAAGCGCTTCTAGTTGATCCTCTTAAATCAATAGGCAATTCAGCAGATCCATTATCATGTAATGCTAAAACACTTTTTAGTCAATTATTTGATTATATTAAACGTAAGTCTTGTTTCTACTGACACACATTTTCTTTTCTATGATTAAAACTAAATAATTTAGATGAAAATCTTGATAAATACAATATAATTCCATCGCGTGAAAAACTTCAATCATCGAATGACCTTGTATCATTTCAAAACAATCAAAAATTTCAAGAAGCACTTGCAGCTATCTATTCATCGTTACTAACTAGATAATTTCTTATTGTATAAAATAAAAAAAACAACAAGAGATCTTTTTCCTGAGAAAAATAAATGAATATATGTGTGTATGTATATGTCGTGGAATAATCATGGATCATATTTGACAGTTTTAAAATTCGTAAAGAATGCAGCTATAAAATCGCATACAATAGTTCCGGTACCGAATATACCAAGAAATGAACCAATACTTGTTGTTGTTTGAAAGAGATCAAATTTTCCAACTTCACCAGTGACAGAAACAAGAATATGTAAATTATAAATATTTGTATGTAATCGATGTAATTCGCCATCGTTTGGTCGAAAAAAGTATCGTGATGTTAGAAAATTCGAACCAGGATCGTACGGATTGCTCTTATATGGTTTAATATCCATACGTTGAAATTTATAAAAAGGTTGACAATATTCTAACTTCTTATCTAGGTTACATTTCCAACTAATTTTTATTTCAATCAATGAACCATAATAAAACATTGCTTCGTATTCGTGAGGGTCAGTTTCAATCATTTCTAAAATTTTCGATAGACGAAATTTTGGACATAGTGGATGATGTATTGGATCATATTCACATGTATCAATATATTCTTTAGTAATTTTATTTGGTATTAGATTAGCTCGTACGAGGCCAAGTTGAGTAAATTCAACGAAATGTTTTATAAATAAAATGTAATCAAGCGCTTGATAATTTCTTTTAACAGTTATTGTTGATAACTTGAACCAGCATAATTTGGATTTATTAGCAATCGTTTCGTTTTCATATTCTTGACGATATAAGGGTGGTAGTATACAACGTGCACGTTCATTACATGTATGCAATGATACTAGCCGAAATGATGAAGATCTATTTTGACGTCGTCTCGATGTTTTATCAGTACAATATCTTAGTACATGTTCAGTTTCTAACATGCGAGTTGTTATTGATATAGCGGAGTTTTCCGTTGCGGGTGTAATAAAATCATTGACGTCGTATGATGATTGTGAACAGTTATACTTTGGAAAATAACGTAATATTGATGCATTCCTTAGACAATATGGTGATGGTTTTATTTTAATTGTAACAGCTGATATGGGCGAACGATCAAATATTTGATATGAACTTCGTTGACACATTAAATACAGACAACTGATAGCAAGCGATAATTTAACAAATAAGGATAGACTTGCAATCCATTTCGATTCAAAACGTACAACTTTCGGAGCTTGAAAGAGACAAAAAGAAAACACGCGATATTGAATAATTTGATAAGAAATATTTGAAAAGTTAATATTTTTAAATTTAAGAAGAATTAATTTCTAGATGAAAAAATAATTTTCAACTTTGACGATCAGAGAAAAAATTAACACCTGTTTGAACATTTTCGAAGATTCTAACTGAAAGTAGTATTTTAGTTTTTCACAAATCGGATATAAGAGAAAGTTTATGCAAATATTTTAGTAATACAAGTGAAATTTGTAATCAAAGGGAAGTTAGATTTTCCGTGTTTGCATTATAGATCAAAATGACTAGAATCAAATTTAAAAAAAGATATACTCAAATTCAATACCAGTTTCAATCTTATCAGATAGATACATTCATTTTGATTTCATTGAAATAAATCGTTTATGAAATCAAAATAAAACTAATCTTGGATATAACTACATATCGAAAAATTTCTGTTTCTTGATTCTTTATAAGTCAAGCTAAATATTTTAGATTAGAAACAATTCACTATGCCGTGGTGTTGTGCTCAATACAGAAATCCTGTAGCGGCGCTTGATTGCTATTTACTAGATAGTTTCCTTATTTTGAAAGAAATTCTCTTGATAATATTTGTCGCTTGGAATAATAATTTATTTCATATTTTGAATTCTTCTCAAGTAATCAAGGAAAAATAGATCATAGTAATAATTAAAAAAATACTCAAGAGATCCTTCAAACAATTCTTATGTTGCTATATTTGATAATCAAGTTTATATCAACAAGGGAAGATTGTGTTGCGTCGCAACAATATGATTCAGAGATGAACAATAGGAACACGAAGGACCATTGTTCTCGTTGATAATTTTACAGAATTAAATTGATCTTATTATAAGTGTAAAACAAATAGATTAAAATCAACATAATTGTTTAACACATGTATTTTTAGATAAAACCATCGGTTTGTTGATAGAATCAGATTTTTCTTATTCTAAACACTGTAAGAAGTGACCTTTCATGGCGAAGTTCAAAATTACTTCGTGCTCTTAGAAGACAATAATTACTATAGCGACGCCATTTTAGTTCAACTGTTGAATGAGTCTATTTACAAAAAAGAAATATGCAAATAGTTATGCTGATTTTAATATGCTTTTGTAAATATTATTTTAAAGATAATGTCAGAAAATTCTTTCGTGCAGATATATAATCTTGTAGAAATTAACGACCTCAACTCTACTATGTAAAAATAACAGAGAAAAAAAGAAAAAGATCTGTGTTTTATGCATGATGTAGTATTAGGTTAGTGAATAAGACAGATGACTTTCTGAATATATCAAGTGTCGCACCTATTTATAGTTATATCTACTTACTATCATAGTGGGTGACACTTGTCCAAATATGCTTTAATGGAGATGATACACGGTGCCGTGTTGTTGGCGTATATTTTGTTATTATTGATGAAAATGACACTGGATGAGAGTTCATTTTAATTGCCATAGTTATTTATCTCTTTTAAGAATGCCATTTTCCGACAAAATAACCTTTATTATGAAAAACTAATAAAATGGCGAGCAAGACAAAAAAGAGCAGAGCACTAGAGAAATGAGACATACGTAAAAAATGACTGAAATAAAAGCTTTTTCTTGTCATAGGAAAAAAAAGCGTTTTCCCATAAAATAAAGACATTGATTCTCTTCTTCTGGATGTTTTATCACTTGCGGCATCATATTGAGTAATCGTGAGCCTTAATAATATGATTTAATGATGTGTAATCGAAGGAAAAGATAGGAGACACCGGCACTTATCGTAAATAGATCAGAACGGAAAGCTACAGAACGACAATAGATCACGCGCCAGTAGAGGCTACAGATGCAACCAGAGAAGATAGAGAACAATCAGAAAATCTTCTATCTGTGCTTTTCTCGCCCTCGCTACGGCTGTTTATTATCGGCAAGCAAATGGATAAATAAAAACTGACAAGTAGTTTTACGAAACAATGATTGACATCCCGACCAGTCAACTGAAAGAAGTAGAGCGACAAAAAACAATCTAGCTAAATAAAATAGAGATATGTCTTCATCTCTCGTATAAGATTTCACATGTTACATTAAATCAAATATATTGTGATGAATAACAAAAACGAGCGATAATCTATTCGATAAGTCAAAGTCTTGTTTTATTCGTATTTACATTAACATTTTGTTGTTATCTGAATAATCGATGTTTTCCATAATTGACATTCTGTCCATTGATGAAAGAGCAAAAAGAATTGAAACAATTGTATAAATGCTTTTTCTGACAGTTATCTCGTACAATAAGCAAGAACAAATTGCAAGAAAAGCTGACGAAAACACATTACTGAATGAAGGAAAAAGGTGACTGAAAGCCTATGTGTTTTGTTTGTCATTAAACATGAAATAAATTAATCTTATTCTTTGAGTGCCGTTAGAGAAAGAAAAAATCTGTTTAAATGGAAAAACATTACGAATAGAATAGTATTTACTAAACTAATGAAACAGCAAAATGAAATGGGTAAATATTCCATCAAGAAAGTCCAAAACAAAAAATCCTTGCTCGATCACAAAAATAACAGCAATAATAATAATGATAACATAGAGAAAAAGTCGATGAGACCATTACTCGTTCTTTCCTATAGGTTTCAATGACAACAGATATAATTAATTCTACACTTTGCGATGGTATCATGATACGATGTTACAAGTTTGAATATGAGATTGCTTTTTCAAATTCAAAATAACTTCCGTAATTTGGCAACAAAACGTAAATATTTGTTCATGATTGATATATATATTTTTTTTTCGAAGCAGCAGTGCTTACGTTACTAGTCATAAAAGTGTATGATACTCTTAGGTCTAATAAAAATCATTTTGTTCGGCAGTCACTATCGAATATTTCCTATTTAGAAAGAACTGTTTAGTTTAACACTTCTAATTATGCATTTAAAGAACAGAAATGGAAGAATGCTGAGATCATGTAAATTTCATTTTTTTATTGAAGTTTTAATAAATATAGAATTGTTCATTTCTACGTTTTGAAAAATCTAATCGACAGTATATATCAGAAAAGCAGAACTTAGAGTTGCAAAAGGAATATCGTTTTTGACTGGCACTAGTATATGACTATGTTCAATGTGAACAGCTTTTCTATCCTAAACTATCGTTTAACACTATATTTAATCTCCTGACCGAGATCTTTTTTAAAATTTTTTCTTTTGTCCAACTCCATATGGACATCGTCAAAGTAACACAGACGATCCATCTCTCAGGCACTATTTCTTATGTTCTAAGAAAATTAACACATACAGTAAAATCCTTAGTCACCCATATATGAAATCCAATTTTCAATTTCTTCGACTAATAGCTGATGATTTCTACGTCCACTGATAGCCGTTTCATTTCTAACCAATATTATATTCGCACTTCATACAAAACATGGAAGCAAATTATGCATGTATCAAGTTTTTTTTCTCCATGAAACTTCTTTTTCTTATCATATTTTCACACTTCTAATTACTTCATTAAGGATATGTGTAAAATGGAATTTAACCAAAGATCTATTTCTAATGAGGCGGAAGTGTGAGAATATAATAAGAAAAAGAAGTTTCATGAGCATACACAATTCGCTTCAATATTTTGTATTTGAGTGTAAATATGATATTGGTTTGAAAGGAAAATTTTTAAACTATCGATCGAAAAAATTGAAAACTGAATCTAGCGAATAGTGAACTAAGGATTTTGCTATATCATTGAGTTTGTTTCAATCAAACAAAGTAGTCCGCTACGTAACGTTTGAAAATCCTACTAACTATAGTATTGTAAATGAAAGACAAACAGAAACATAAATTCAGTAGAGCACTGCCGAAATAGCTAACAATTACTCTTAATAGCTCGAATTCGGCATAAAAATGATCGCGGAGACTTATAATTTTTTTCCATATTGCACGTGTTGCACTTAATAGATTGAATCAAGAGAATGAAAGTGATCGAAACACACTCAAATTCATTACGTCAAAGATTATTGATGGGTTGTTCTGATCGATTTTGTTTATTACTATTGGAAAGCATAGTTTACAAAAGTGATTGTATGACGAACAATGAACGATTCTGGCCTATAACAATCATAGAGCTATCACTGTCTTATTTTGAACGTTATTACAACCATCGATTTCTAAAAAATATTTATGTATATATATATAGATCTGCATTATAATGTAGATATCCTTCCATTTTAATATGAATCTTATTACAGTACGAATCGTCAAGTACTAGTTTTTTCTAAAAAAACCTTTATCATCTATTCATGATGTTTTGTAATGGAACGCAATGCACCTTATCCACGAAGAATTATCCTTTTAAAATGCATAAAAGTACTATTTCTAATTCTATTGAGCAAACAAAAATCTCATGAAACATCAATTCAATGATGTCATCTCATAAAGCAAACATTTTGGCTTTGATTGTTTGTATATTGTTGCTGTGAAAAGATCGTCAAAATGAAATTTAACGAAGGTCAGCTGTTCTTTTCATCTTATTTCATTCAGTTTTACTGATTAAAACCAATTTTATGATTTAATTGATTTATTAAATTTCTTTCTCTCGTGATCTCATATATAAAAAACAAGCAAATATAATGGTTTTATATCAGGAAAATTCAATATGAGATACAATGGAAATAAAAATTTGAAATCAAACAAAAAAAAATAAAACTATGTATTGTTGTTTATGATTTTCATTCATTAAGAAAAAATTTCAATTGCATCGCTTTTTTCTTCTTTTTCAACGGAATGCAAATCAATCGATCAAGAAAAACACACTTGACTAAGACGTATGTTCTTCATTAATGATCTAATACCAATAATAGGCAACAGATTTCTATCCGACGTATTAATAACATATTTGATCGATCCTTGCTTCTTATTCTGTAACAAAGAAATCTAAGACAGATTTTACTTTTGCAAGAAAATTACCTGACACTCATCATGTATAATTACAGTTGGTAACTGATTGATATTATAATGAATATCATCGATAGATATAAGTGTAATATTTGTTTGAAGTTTATCAGTACATTCATACGTTAGATTCTGTTCGATCTGATTATAAAGAATACGCAAAAAACGTATTTGCGATATTGGTCCATAATGAATCTAAAAGATCATGAAAAACTAACGATGTTTGGAAGAAAATGTGTATTTTTTTACTTGTTTTTCTTCGTCATCTTTGGGTTGTAAACAGGTTTTCTTTCTACCACTTTCAATAATACAATTAACTTCGATTGCATCTGATGTACTACCATGATTTGGATCAATCCAATATTTGCCTTGATAGAAAATAGTTTGCCTTTTTATTATTATAAATCAATCAAGATTATCTTCTACCTATCAACGATTGTTCGTGTAGATCAAGACATGATTGAAATGGATTTTCTGGTCGAAGACCCATAGGTGATTCAATTTTGTTCAATTGAATTGACATCTTTTCTAATATGCGAATTAATTGTAATGCGAGAGGATTTACTGGAGTATTTTCGTCAAGTGATAATACTGAACGACGTAATCGAAGCGTGTGCATTTCAGTTGTTTCAGTTTCAGCTTCAGTTTCTGTGCCGGAAGAGAGCTCAGTTGAAGAAATTTCATTTGGTAAAATAGTTTCTCCAGGTGGACCCTAAATGAATAAAAAAAAGAAAAGAAATCGTAGTATTTTTATCAACTATTCAAAAGTATATACCGGCGGACCAGCTGGACCCTATAAACAAAAAGAAATAGGTCAAATTTGTACTTTTCTTATTGAATAGTTTTCTTTTTTAATACATACTGGTGAACCTTTTTCTCCTTTGGTACCTCGTGGTCCATCCGTTCCTAAGAATTGAAAATGATTGTATTAATTCTTAAATCAGACTAGTCTACCTTTTGATCCTTGAACACCAACTACACCCTGAAAAACGAAATAATCAATATTTGATTATTGATGTTTAAAATGTTTACCGATGCTCCTGGTGGTCCAATACTAAACAAGAAAACATAATATATCAACTAGAATGTAATAGTACAATAAGTATTTAATTTTTACCCTCCAGGTTCACCATTGGTTCCTGGTGATCCCTACAATTAATTTTACAAATAGATATATTTTGTTACTTAAATATGAAATTGATTTCGCTCACTTGTGGTCCTCTATCACCAGAGTCTCCCTATTTAAAAAAAAAGCATAAAAACAATATGAACGAATGAAAATGTATTTAAAATGGAACTTACTGGATCACCACGTGGTCCTCGTTCACCCTTGGGACCTCTTTCTCCTATGATGAATAAGAAGCACTGAAAATAATCATGCATATCACAAATAGTACATACCACTAGGGCCTGGTGGACCTGAAGGTCCAGTAGCTCCTTTTGATCCTCTCGGACCAGTTTCTCCCTCTAAAACAAAAATAAAGAAAAAAAACAAGTATTATGGAATGATTATTATTTAAATGGATAATTCACTTTGTCCTTGAGGTCCTTGTGCACCCTAAAACATGAAAATTTAAATTAACCCCTTTAAATTACTTAGGATTTATTAAAATATCATTTTTTTTCTCTTTCACGATTATCATCGCATACGATGTGAATCTTTCTCCTAAGGATTATGTTCCGACCATTAATAATGATTTGTTGAAAATATTTCTTTTCATCACCCCCACCCCGGCATACACTACATCAAGTAGAAAGTTAAACTCACCACAGGGCCAATGGATCCTTTTGGTCCTTGTGCCCCAATTGAACCGGTAACACCGCGTAATCCTTCAGGGCCTTGCAAGCCTGTTGTACCTTTAACACCTTGCCGTCCCTAAAACAAAATATAGAACATTAGGTAGAGGTTTCTGTTACAAATGTTTCAATAGAAGTGATACAAAAAGAATTATAAAGTTTGAAAAACAAAATTTAGTGTATTATCATAAAATTTTAAGTCAATTTTACTTACTTGTTTCCCTTCAGGACCTTGTGGTCCTATTGGTCCTTGGATTCCTTTATCACCTTTGCTGCCTGAAACCAATACATCATATCACACATACAATGCTCAAAAAATGAATCATTTGATTGAACTAACCCGTGTCACCTTTTGGGCCGATTTCACCTACCTAGAAAAAATATATCCGAGTTGAAAATCAAAAGTGCTACTTGACTTACTTCACCAGTATCACCTTTTGCACCAGTTTCTCCACGAAGGCCTTGCTTACCTTCAATACCTTTCTCTCCCTAAGAAATATATTCAATTCAATAGATCAGTAATCATTAGAACATTTTCATCACTTACTTTCTGGCCTTTAACTCCGTGCTCGCCTTTTTGTCCTTTATCACCTTGTTCACCTTTGTCGCCCGTTTCTCCAATCGGTCCTGTTATTCCAATTACACCAATTGGGCCCTAATTATAGGAGAACAACAGATTAATTGTAGCGAAATATAACGTTTCGGTTTTCAGTAGTAACATAATCACTCACCATATCGCCTTTCTGACCTTGTAATCCAATAATTCCTTGATCTCCTTTATCTAAAGGAACATAAATATATTGCCAATACTAAATCATACAATAGTACGAAAAAAAGATAATTCAACAGTACCGCCTTTTGGTCCAATAGGTCCGATATCTCCTTTTTGACCAGTATCACCTTTTAACCCCTAAATTTTAGCATGCTATAATACGGGCCTAATCCTTATATGAATAGACTTACTTGTGGTCCAATTACACCTTGATTTCCTTTTGGTCCAGTTTCTCCTTTATCACCTATATAAAAATAAATAATTTTTCATATAATAATACTACATAATAAAAATAAAACTTTTAACCTTTTTCTCCCTGAGGTCCATCTATTCCTATTGGACCCATTACACCTTGATCACCCTACATAAGAAAATATATTTAGTTAATATAATTTCATTTTAGATATTGAAGAACCTGTTCTCCAGTTATTCCTATGGGTCCAATAATACCTTGTGCACCTTGAGATCCCTAACACGAAGAGAACAAGAAAGTATTAACAAATAAATATTATCTATTATTTATTCTAAATATTTACTTGATCACCTTTTTCACCATGATCACCTAAATTATTTATTGGTAATTAATATTGTATATCTAATTACATTCTATGATACGAACCTTTTTCGCCAACAGGACCAATTATACCATGGTCTCCTTTAGAGCCCGTCAATCCTATTGGACCTTGATTTCCCTTTTTTAAAGTATCTATTATTAGTGTAATCATTACGTGAAATGTAGTTTACCTGAGGACCTTCAGGTCCAATTACTCCATTTTGCCCTTTCTCTCCTGTAATAGCAAACAAAAAATGTCTAAAACGTATGTCAGAAAATAATTCAATTCTACCTTGATCGCCTTTAGGTCCTATTGGACCTATTTCACCTTGAATACCTTGTGGACCTGTAATGCCTTGTGGTCCCTATAAATATGATGCATAAATAATAGACATCTCATTGACTCATTATAAACATAATGTCTATACTTGTATTCCAGTATTTCCTCGAATTCCTTGGTCACCTTTCTGTCCTTGAATACCTTTATCACCTTTGGGACCCGTCAGTCCAATAGGACCTGTGATACCAATAGGACCCTAATCAGTATAATTAAATAAAAAATAGTACTGTGCAACTATAACAACGAATAAAAGAAAACCTGTATTCCTTGTATCCCTTGAATACCGGTATCTCCCTTTTCACCAACTTCTCCCTAGTAAAATCCAGCCAAAAAATATATGTTGTCATTGACAATGAAATTAGATAGAATAAATAACCTTATCTCCTTTTACACCTTGAATACCAGTCACACCAATAGGACCTACATCACCGACTAGGCCTTGTGGTCTAGAAAATAAAGAAAATTGAGATATATTGCGTAATTGAATACTTGAATCAATACCCTTGCGGTCCCGTATCACCTTTGTCGCCTTTATCACCGGCTATACCCTGTAAACCCTTTGGTCCTTCTTCACCAATTGAACCTTTTTCACCTCTGCAAGCAAAAGCTCAATCCATTAGAATTTTTGAAGATTATGCATACACGCAAACCTTTCACCCGTCAATCCACGATCACCAGTGAAACCTTTAGAACCCTAATATAATGTTCATATGGTAGAAAAAATAACAAATATATTGTATTTAATCAAATGATAATTTACCGTTGGACCGACAATGCCTTGATTTCCTCTATCATATATAATTATAATTCTATTTGATAGAAATATAGTCATTTACACTCACTTAGGTCCAGTCTACAAACAAAAGACTATAATCAAACATAAATCAAAAGAAGATTATACATACTTCGCCCTTGGTACCCTTTTGACCAATTTCTCCTCTTGGTCCTTGCGGTCCGATGGGTCCCTTATATATAGACAGATAGAAAAAATATTCAGCAAACTGCAAATGGTAAAATGAATCAATATTACTTGTCGCCCTTGAATTCCTTGTATTCCTTGCGGACCCATTGATCCTTTCGGTCCTCGGGGACCTATGGAAAATAGTATTGAATATATATATATTTAGGATAAAATTCATTACCAACCAGTAAATCCAATTAGACCAATAGGACCAGTCAACCCAATAATTCCCTTAACAAAAATATCAGAATCGAGACCTATAAATAACTATCAATGACCAGTATAATTACTTTCTCGCCCTTATTTCCTTTATCACCTTTAGGACCTTCAGGACCTTGTACTCCCTAAAAGATATGGTATATATATATATATATATATATATATATCTTATCTAAATTTCGTCATATATACTTGTGACCCAGTAAAACCAATAGGACCGGTTTCTCCTTTTTGACCAGTAAAACCTTGTGGACCCATTTCACCTGTTTAAGATTTTATTAAAATTGAAATGAAGAACAAAAACCATATTTCTTACCTTCAGATCCACATGGTCCAATTTCACCTTTATTGCCCTTAATAATAGAATGAAATGTAGAGTGGTGTCACATATCCAAAATTTTGGAGATGCCACCACATCTCCCACAGGAGATGCTGCGTCTCCCGCTGGAGACGTGACACCCACAGTCGGGAGATCCGGTCATTCACCACTGTAGATGTAAGATCTCCTTTAGAGATGCGCATCCCTCACACCCACACCCACATCTCTCGCGCGAGATGCGGCGTCTCCCGCGGGAGATGTGGTGGCATCTCCAAAATTTTGGATATGTGACACTGCTGGAAATGTATGAAATGATATAAATTAAAATTTACCTTAAAACCCATAGGACCTATGTCACCCCTTATAATAAAAGGATTCATCTGTGTTCGAAATAAATTATCATAACTTACTTATCACCAGGAGGACCTAATTCACCCTAAATAAATATTGTTTTTATAAAAATAATCAAAATTTTTAATGAATGCATAAAAAGAAAACTCATACTTTATCACCCTTTAAACCTTGAACACCAGGAAATCCACGTGGGCCCTTGACAATACACGTAAGTGTAAAAGAAAAACAAAGTGGATTACGCATTTACCTCTTCACCCTTTGCACCGGGAAGCCCTTCTAGGCCCTCTAGAAATAAAATAAAACTTGGATTTCTATGAATCTTTCATTTTGTTTTTACTAACGGCTTCCAGTTCGACCATGTGAACCCTGCAAATATTTTTATTAAATAAGTAATTATTAGAAATGTACAAAAACATAACAAAAGCTAATAAACCTGTGGTCCTGGTGGTCCTGGAGGCCCAATGGGACCAGTATCACCTTGTGGCCCAGGTAATCCAGCTAAACAAAAAGAAATAGCAATTACAAAAAGAAAAAACAAGGCATTCAATGACGTAGAATAGCTTACGTTCGCCTCTTTCTCCTTTGAAGCCCCTAAGACCTTGTTGTCCCTTTGAAAGAAAAGCATTACTCTTTACGATGATATAATTCTAATTACCATAATACCGGGTAGACCCGGTCTTCCCGAAGCGCCCGGCTGACCTTTGAGAATATACTATTCGGCGAAATGAATATAGATGAATTCATTCTCTTTTCTAACGGTCATACATACTCCATAAGAACTAATTATGTCTTTCATCGCATCAACAAACGATTGTGGATCATGAACGGTATGAATGGGTGACTACAATCGAAGAAAAGCGTGAATCAGTGAAAAGAAAATGTACTATACTGATTACGTACTGGGATGACAATAATATGACCTGGAGCTCCTGGAGCACCTTTGGGTCCATCAATGCCAGGACGTCCTGGCATTCCAGCTGGACCTGCTTGTCCTATGTTAAATTGTTCGACGTATTTTGCTAGCTTTTGAAATAAAAATAAATAATAAAGTTTAGAAAATAGATGCATCACAATAAAGATATACAGTCAAGATAACTTACTTCAGGATTTATGAATCGTTGTCCTTTCCTATTGATGATTCGATGTTGGCTAGTACTTCTCTTAGTCCTATGTATGATTTCGTCTTCATCAAGCGATGAATCCCACTTGATGACACGAATATCTTTAATATCGCCCTAAAAATCATTCATCAAAAATGTTTCATTATTATATGAATATATTTTTCAATATCACGAGATCGCCCAAGACAAGAACCAATATCTACATTTATTATATAGCATGATGATTTCAAATATTTATCAGCAAGAATGTTTACAATCATTCCATCAACTTAATTCTTTCTGTATACTGAATAGTGTTGTAAAGTAAACACATAAATAGTATTGGAATGAAAAACATTTTGAGTGTGTCAATTAAAAATCATTTATTTCAATTATTCAGTCTTCTATCAAAAACTGAAGACGATTATTTCGAAAACCAAAATAATCGATAGAATATAATATTTATCTTGAAATGATGTGTTTGAAATACTTATTAATAGTTATGTTTATTATAGAAACTCTTCATAAGTTAGCATAATAAAACATTTATAAATAAACTGTCATGATATATATATATATATATGTTTTATATACAATCACAGCTGTAGTCAGATCTATTCTATTTCATAGTATAAATTAATCAAATTAAGTGTAAAAATGTTTACATTTTCTATTATTTTTACCTTAAAGAATGAATCTGTCGAATATTTATGGCGATTATTAGCACCCAGAAAAGCAACTTTTGCTAAAGTAAATGTTTCTGATATTTGCATGAAATTGAATGGTAATCTAATTTCATCATCTAATTTATTATCAAATTGAAATGTAATTGAGTCAAGTCTAAATATAAGAATAATTTGGTGCCACCTAGAAATAAAATTTTTTCATATAAATAGAATTAAAAAAGATTAACATTAAACTTACAATCCATCGTTAGCTGTAAGTTTTTCATGATGAAAAATAATTTGTTCTATTTTTTCCCCATAACGATAAAGTAGAGTAATATCTATATTTATCTTTACTTCAAATATAGGTAATAGATTATTGTCCAATAGAGAAAACAATGTTCCTGATGAATCTCTTACACAACGATACGTTGCTAGAAGAATGAATGTCATGGGCAAATTCGGTCCTATGAAAAACACTTGATATTCAAAAGAATTAAGAAATAAAATTTTCTGTACTGAAACTTTTGGTAAATCTTAAATTGAGATCAACCTGAAGAAACGTTACTTTTCGATGATCCGAAGAAAACGGAGCTCGAACGCCAACATTATTCAAATCAGAAAAATTTGTTTGAACAATATCAAGTGTTGATATAAGATTTTCAGTAAGTACCGTGTGCGATGGTGTATCAACGACTGGTATCCAACCATGATATACAAGCTGTGGAATATCAATTAAATTTAAAATGACTTTATAAGGAAAACAGAAATAATGAGAATCATAAATTTTTATCTGATAAATTTTAAAAAAATATACCTGTATAGTTATTATTATTATTGTTATTATATTGATTAGTTATTTCATTCTGTAGTGTTATTGGAATGAAATAAATAAATAAGAAAAACAACCACATCATCTTATTGCATCAACAAGCATGCACCCATCAGAACATGAAAGAAATCGATCGGTACAAATGGAACCATAGAATAGTTATTGATTGATTTTTTTAACTAGCCGTAAATGTTGACGTATATATGAGTAGAATAGGATTACTAATAACTAACAAATACGATTGGCTACAAACGAAATAGATGAGAAGAAGTCAATGGATATCTTACGGATATACACACAACATTTAGCAAACACCCGTTGCCCTAATTATCTGCTGTCATAAACAAGGGCATAATATTTTGTTATATGTATATACATAGATAGATATAATTGTATTCTCTCGTTAAAGGTTCCACATTATGATAACACATTTATGTCTCACATTCATTTTAGCTAAACCTTCAACAAATAAAAAGATTTTATGCGAGAAATTTTCAGCTTGAGAAAGTCTACTTTTCACAAATCGTTTAGCAACATATAGTTCATTATATTATTCTCTGTTGGTTCATGAATCATCTCACATGAACAAAATTCTAAAATTGTCTTCAATTTATTTTAATAGAATAAACTTAGTTCAATCGATTAGTGCTTTTCTTTGTTTTTCTTTCATATTCACGAGAACTATTTCTACTATTCTGTCAATTCACCCTATGCGTCACAAGTACTTTCATTAAAGCTTGAAAACACTTCGCACAAAAGCAAACATATACATATATTGATAATGGCTACTTTATGTTACTTAAAAACTCCTTGGGAAAAAACAGCTTTAATACTAAGAATAGTATTTTTTCAAGTATTCTTTTATAGTAATGCAAAAAACTCATCAACAACAGAAAACAAAACCTAATCTTTCGGAATCACTTTGATTTTCTCGTCTTTGCTTTTCTGTTTGTTTCTTTTTAATCGAATTTTAAGAAATTAAGTCAATATATCCAGTTTGTCATACACATTTTAATACAAACAAATTAATCTGCCAACTCAACATACATCACGTGCATTCAACATAATCACAAAACAGAGCAAAAAATAGAAAACAAGAATGCAAACAGGAGAGAAGAAGGTGAAAAAACACCGAGCTGGTGTTAAACCGGGTTTAATACACAAAACATAAAAACATATAAACAAGTTGTTTTCTTTCGAAGGAATATTACACAACACATGACAAAAAAAAGAAGAAAACAAAGCAAAAACGTGTTTGTCGTTCGTTCTACAACGAACGGTTATAGTAATAATAATAATAATAATAATAATAATAATAATAATAATAATAATAGTTGTTGTTGTTGGAGTTTCTAATGATGAGTTTTTGAGCATTGAGACAAATAACAGGCTTTCTTTTAGTTTTCATGTGAGCAAATAAATGAATACTGTTGAAAAATAATTTCATTCGTAAATTGACGAGAAAAATAGAATTCTTTATATTTTCCAATATATCTACCTATGGCACGTTTACATATGAGAAATACAAATTTTCGATTGAGCGTTATATTAATAAGATGAATTGTTCATTGGAAAATGCATACTAGTTGGTGGTGATACTTGAATAAGTTCATTTCGAGGTTGTTTACAATATTGTAATGGTGGAGTTAATGGTGAGCGTTTTCCAGACATAGTCGTGGAATACATCATAGGCGTTGATGTTGACATACGATAATTCATTTGACCTAGAACAAATAAAAACATCATTTATTACTTCTAATTTAATTTATAACTATAATAATAAGAGATAAAGAATTAATCTTGTCAAAAAATAGAAACAAAAAAAAATAACATCTGTCAACATAATCTTAATCGGAAGTGCGATGCAATAATGTTTATCCTAATAGAATGTATTTGAATTATAATCCAGGCTGTCAATGAATTTTATATGATGAAAGATTGTAAAAAGAAGTCGAAAGGCTTATTGGCGACCGTCTTTTTTTCTTATTTTTTATCCTTGCTCAATCTTTATGATTCAATATCTTGAATTTATTCTATGAAAAATTAAACTATCTCTGCCTTTGTATTGAAGGTGAAAGGTATAAATGAATTTTCAATTACGTTTACTTACGGTTTGAATCATCTATATTTGAATTGTCATCTTGATGTTTCTGATTGTAGTTTATTGGCTTTGTACAATTTAATTGAGTTTTCGAGTTATTCAATGGTGGTTGTGACATTGTTGGTGCCGTCTTAATATTATTATTATTATTTGTTAAATTTTGACTAAAGCTTGATGTATGCGATGGTAAATTATTCGCACCACTATTTATTGATAGAAAACCATGATTTAAATCGAGTGCATCTTGTGCATCAAGCATTTCTAATAGAAGATCAGCTTGTGGTAGTAAATCATTAGCACGCATATTTAGAAATAGTCTTATTAATTTTGAGCTTAACATTTTAATATGCGGTAATTGTAAGAGTAATGTAAAATGCCGAAGAGAATTATCTTGATAAACACTTGGATTCGAATCACATGTATATTGTATCGATTGATAAATTTGATTGGTTAATAAACGAAATGACTTTGTTGTTGTTATCGTTGCTGGTATTGAATTAATAAGTATTGCAGCTTTAAGTGCAATAAATTCTTCATGTGTAGTACGAGGTTCTTTAAATGCTTGAAGAATGTTAAATAAACTTGTACATATTGCACCGACACCAGGACTTGACAACGAACGATTGCTAAATGAAACCAAATTATACATCTATAAAAAGAAATCAGTAACTTTTCTTTACCGTGAAATAATAAAATCAGGTGCAAAATGGAGTGTGTCATCATTGCGCTCTAAAGATCTTTCAACTGTATCTAAAAGTAAAGTATCCAACCAACTTTGTTCGATGATTGTTACCTGTTGATCAAGGGTTAAACTTTCAGTATAACCTAAGATATTTTAAAAGAAGTATTATTTCGATAAAAGAATCGTTTTAAAAATAAGATAAATACCTGGCATTGCTTTTGCCCAATTAATAAGTACAACAAGTTCTTGATCGAATATTTTCGCGAGTAATTGCAGAAAATATTGATCATCTAGTGGACGACTACTATCGACTTTGGCTGGTAAATTCAAACGAGATGCTTGAGAAAGTGTCGCAATAAATTCAGCGGGAGTTATTGGAATGCGTATCGATTCAGAATTTGTCTAAATGTTCATAGAGAAAAATTAGTCCAAAAAAATTCTAAACAAATTGTTTAATAATACTTTATTTGTTTGAGAGTGCAACGGTGAAAAATTATTATTATTATTGTTGTTATTGACTTGAGACGATGTTCCATTTATTGTTGATAATGTTTCACTAGTTGCTACTAAAAGTCCATGTTCTTGGTTATTTCTATTTGGATTACTAGTAGCACTTGAAGTTGATGATGTTGATGTAATTTTACAAACGGATACAGCTTTTTTTCGATATTTTCTTTCTCGTCGTGTTGTACCTTTGGTCATGCCGACCTCATAACATTTTCTTAAGCGGCATGCTTGACAACTTTTTCGACGATGTTTATCTATTGTACATGTATTTGTCGCCGGACAAATATATTCATTCGTCCCTTGAATACTTCGTTTAAAAAACGCTTTACAACCTAAAACAAAGAAATTTTAATTTTAAAAATATTTTCGATAAATAACATTTTAATAAATTGACCTTCACAACTCCAGACTCCATAATGGTAACCAGAAGCAATATCATTGCAAACAGCCTATATTAAAGAAAATTATATAGAAAAATGAATTTCTTCTTCATAATATATACATACGCAACGACGTTTATCATCGGAAGATACTGGAGCTAAACAAAAGAAAACAAATCGATATATTATTCGATATAATAATGATTGAAAAAAGACTTTCTCTCTAGAGAAAGATTTACATGAATAATTCGAGATAATTCTTATGACTATATATAATTAGATATGAATAGTAACTTTGAGTAATATTTCATTTTCAAAAAAAAAGTTTTTTTCCTCCATCAGACGAGGTGATTAAAGATTATTGTAGCTGAATAAATTCGAGTTAAGACAAAATAATCATCACAACATCTTTTAACGCTAGCATTCCTGTTCGAATAGAGCCAACGTAAACAATTGATTCTACATACATAACATAGACAGAAAAATATTGCATTATCTTCACTAAACGCTTAATCGTTCAAGCATTTAGCATACGGAAAAAGAATAGTACAATAGGATTTAGTTATTTTTGTTATAAATATAAAAATATCTCGTATTTTTTCTCGATTTTCCTACCAACCTCCACCTTTTGCTGATGGTGGGACTATAGTAGATGTTGGCGAAGTTTCAACTAGATTATTTGATAATGGTGATATTTGTTCATTGTCAGGTGAAGGTGTTGTTCGTTGTTGATGATGATGTTGTGTAAAAGATCCATTTGTTAGTGAATGATACGGCGGTGGACTAAATGGTTGCTGTTTAATTGTTAATGTTGTTGCATTAGACAATGAAGTTGATCCACGAGTAAAATCTGTCTGTGTATTTCCTGGCGCTGACATAGTCAACATATCTAATTATTGAGCATTTTTTTGTTTTGATGAATTAAAAAACTAAGGGCAGTATGATCTAAGGCAATATAGATTGTTTTGATGTCGAATAATGATTACAACGAGTAAGAAAAAAAAAGAAATAATCACGAAAGTAAAAGGAAAAAGGAGAAAGAAAAACGGAAAAGAAAAAAATACGTAGAACATTCAGAGTCATCTATAATGTTGAGAATTTTTTGCATTCTTACACAGAATGCTAGTTAGTTCTTAATATTATTATTTACCCTTCTCGAGTTTGAATTTACATTAATAAAGTACTACGAGAAAAACAATATATATATATATATGCATAATGCACTTAGTAAAGAAAGTTTATGAAGAAGAAAACAAAATGATTATTTTTTCAGGTCATCTGATTTACCCTTACTAATTTTTTATATTTTCTTTTGTTCGTTCGTTAGATGAGCAACACGATAAATATTCTTATTGTGTCTTCCCTCTATCGGGTCACGCAGCCCGTGACCTCAGATGAAATAGGACGAATGAACATGTGTGCGTGCATTTCTTCTATATAAGTTCAATCAATAGCTCATAGATTGATGCAAAAGATATTGAACAAACTTTTTCTCTTACATTTACTTATTCTGCATGCATAATAATAGAAACAAAAAGAAACAAAAAGAATAAAAAAACAAAGCAGTCGTTATTCGAAAAAAAAATGGACGCTATTGATGACGATGCTGCTACATCGATGATTGGATGTCAGAAGGACGAGGGAAAAAACGGGGGGATGTATGCGTGAGCGTACAAACATAAGTAACATATAGCCATCATAAAGTATGGAAAGAAGAAGGACGACGACAGAGAAACGATGAAGAAAAAAAAAACAAGAAGAGAGAAAGAAGAGAATCAGTCTGCCTAACAACATTTTCGTTGGTTTTGCCTACTAGTAGTTAGACAAGGGCAGTATAGATGTGTATGGCAAGTCATCCTGTTCTTTGCTTTGGCATCCTACTGAGTAAATAATAATTTTTTTTTATGAAGGTGATGAGGACAAGAACTATGGCAAAACAAGCGCGTGAGATACAAAAAGAAATAAAACGTGAGACGTGTGTGAAATAAAAGAATCCTTTCGTTTTTTTTTAATTTAATGAAAAAATAAAGAACATTTTCAATGAATGAAGACTTTCTACTTGCATTTGAATAATTAAAAAAGGTGCAAAAAAATCTAAAACTTACTTTTGATTGTCATATTTTTCTTGGACTGATTATCATTGTCAATGGTGGGTTTTTCGATGGGTGTTGTTCGAATAGAATGATAATTTTTCGGATAAAATGGATCAATTTTTGAATCAACGATTGTATAGCCAATATCGTTTGTTTGTGGAGACAAAATTTCAGTGACATCCCAATCAACTGTTTCATCTTTAATAGTTGGCATCATGGAATCATTTACAAAATTAGTCCAACTACGTTTATCTGAGGATGACATATCAACACACATTCACTCAGATGGTAGAGGTATCTGCAAAATAATCAATATAAATGAAAAATAAAGATTAAAATATAATACATATAGATTCGAATTAATAAAGGACTTCGACGACATAAACAATAATATGATATAGTTAATATTATGCTCGCATAATAACGTTGACAAATCTTGAGAATTATATTTGATATTTCTCTTTGTTGAAAACCGTCATATAAGGGACTAATGTACAATGAACAATATATTTTTAACTTAGAAGAAACATTTTGCAGATTTTTATTATAACTCATGAAAATAATATTGATTCGTTGTATTAACTGAGGAACAAAGGCATATTTATTTCTGTTGTAAAAAATGTGAGCCGGTTTGAAAATAACAAAAGCAGAAGAAGAAAAACAGAAAGAACAACTCGGCAGACTTAATAAAAAGAAAGACATCGAAAAGTAAATTTGAATAAATACGAACAATTTTTTATTGATTCACACAGGGCGGAAAAAAACAACCGTGATGTAGTTGACATTCAATCATTTTTAAAATATCTAATACTGGAGTAACTATCTTACAATGAATAGGTATAAAAATATTGTTTCATACTTATTATTAAACATATTATTCATGAATCGAGGATTGCCATTTTTTTTGTACTTATATTACATTCGAGAACGAAAGAGAAAGCTATGGGATCAACGCTCTTTTTACTAAAATATTCACTTGCTTTAGATCTGTAACAAAATAAAATTCAAGAGAATTATTTCGATTTTTATCAATAATGACTAAGTCTTGATTATCTATGTTTCTTGAATAAGAATAAGAAATGATTGCAAATCCTATGCTGCTCTTATTTTTTTATTCTTACGCATACAACTAACTTAGAACAAATAGTTTCACCTTTGTGTTAGCACGCGACTGTTATGTATGTTCATTTGCATGTCATACAATGGCATATTTAAGAATAAAAATACAAATACTTCTTCATTTTGTTTTTTTCTCTCCTACGTCTGCAAAAATTTTGGTAATCAAGTAATGGAAATAAAAAAACTAGTGACAGTATGAAAGTAGAGCATTTCATTCATTATCTTTTACATAATTTAACTGACTAGTGTGAAAAGACATCAGTGTAAGAAGAAGGAAAAAAGAGAGCACATGAGCACAGCTATGAAAATGAAACAGGAAGAAGGAAAAAGAAATATAAATACCTGCAATTTTTTTCTATCAAAGATTATGCTCACCCAATGACGTTCTTTTTTTCTTGTTCAGTCAATCTCAATGTTATCATATTCATCTATTTACAAAAAAAATAAAATTTTCCTTTTCATTAATGAAGTAGGGTCGAAAACAGTGACGTAAACAGGTTTTCTTTTTATATAAGTTGCAAATGTGTGTTTTATCGTTAAGAAAGAGAAAGTCGACCTTCATCATAAATCATATATTTCTGACTCTTAACTATTTCTAATTCAAACAAATAATATCAATACTTATATATAAATATAACCTCCTATGACGACAAATAGATCTATTAATTATTCTACTGAGATACGAAGGTGCCCAAGGACTGAGGACTAGGAATTCCTAATCAGTTCCCATACAGTTCCTTTCATACTAAAGGTAAAAATATGGAATATTCACGATAATTTTTGTTCTTACACTTATTTTCACTTGCAAAATTGAGAGAATCAGTGATTTCATACAAAATTGTTTTTTAAAGCGGCAATATCGCGACTTTCGTGAATGGTGGAACTGTGAGGAAACCTATAGTTGATTTCGATTTCCTGTAGGAATTATTACAGCGACATTGACGATTCCTCGGCGCATTAGGAATGCCTCTTTCCCAGTCCTTGGACACAGCTGGTTTCGGTTGGATGATTATTCGATACCTGTCGTATATTTTCTTTTTGCTTATGCAAAAGAAAAAGCTTCGCTGATCGAAACGTAATACGAATCAAAATGATAATATACAATAATATTCGCAGTTGTTATCATTTTGCTTAACTGATAATAGATAATTTCTTCAGTGCGCGCACATCGAATATAGTGTCTACTCCAACAAGCATGTTAAAATGATCATTAGCGTATTTATTTCTTGATATTAGCTAAAAGAAAAAAAGGGAGAAAAAAATATATTACCGGTACAAAGGTTGTCTTTTCTATGGAGTACCCTAGAAGAATAAACTATCAGCATGTGCCGAGAGAAAATGAAAGGTTGAATTAAACGTTTCATTGAGTAAATATATTGCACTACTACATAATCGAGCTAAAGGTTAACGGTGAAATGCATCTGTCTAGCTAGATACATTTTATCTAAATATGTCAAAATAAATATATAGAAATATAAATTTTATCTTTGATCTGAATGACAGCAAAGAACTCTCAGCTGCGCATATTACAGCCGATGGGCATCAATCGCAAATGTCCGACAGTAAATAAAGACTATAATAGAAGGAAAGAAAAACGAATTTAGGATGCTGTCCCTTGGGGATTCTAGCAGAATCTTCAGCTTTACAGTTATAGCATAATTAAAAATGTCTATGGCTTTTTCACAGACAGGTACTTCAGCATATGTCACCTTCGAGTGACTACTCTCTCATAACATTTCATTTCATGCTATAATGCGTGTGTTCTGAGCGTCTGAATCGTCATTAGTGTCTGAATCTCTCTGTAAAGAGTGTTGAAAAGAAACAAACAAGAATCATTTTTTATTTCAATAAAAATGTTTTAAAATAAAAATAAAAAGAAACAACATAATCAGTTACATTAGGGTCTGTGTATACTCATATTTATAGGAATAACATTGATTGGTTTGTGATCGTCCATGATATCAAACACATGGGGTGACTTGACTTTCACTTGGATTAGATAAGATATTTCATTTAGGTCTTCACAACTGCTTTTTTTCTCTCGAGTAGATAGTCGCAACACGAAACAAGCAAATATTACTTTGCTCTCGCACACATCAAAGTGACATGTTTCTCAAGAACAGCGCAAGTTTATTTTTTCAAGGTGATGCTTTCTATGAATGCGTGCATTTCTATGATATGGTAAAATTAAGAATAGGTTTAGTGATAATATGTCGTATGTCAGAACATATTTGTAATGTATAAAATCATGCACGTAACGAGGATTCATTATTCGATAAAAAGTAGACCAGCGATAATCAAGTGCTGCTTTATAATATTAACGATAAAAATATCGAAGATTTTTTAACATAAATAAAAGACGAAGCATTACGAATTAGCATATGAATTCAAATTTGACTTTGTTTATCATGTGTTAGTAGATAATTAGCTGACGATTTGGTTCATTGCTTTCAGGATTTGCTAAAGAAATAAAATTTCATGCAGAAAAAAACATTGTAGGCGAAAATTTGTTTTCTACTTATGCAGAAACCATCGTCTCCGCATACTTGTTTATTTGGCATACGTGTATAGTGTAATTATTAAACATTGATCGATAAATCACAGCATGTTAAAACTTAATTGATAAAGATCCTTAGAAAATTTCTATTCATCAGATCAACCATTTTTATATGCAATGAAAACTCAGTTCGGTTCACTAATGAATAGTCCGAATTCTTAATTTGACGTATTAATAAGAGTAGTTTTATTCCGGAAAGCTTTGATGGATTGCCATGATTGTACTAGTTGATCCTCTGCATGTTACATGATTTTATTATACAAGCCGAATAAAAATAAACTATGCTAATTATCAACCTTTTGTAATTGGATCCATAGTGTTATAGCATAATTGTCAATCGCATGCAAATAAGAAAAATTCGTTCAGTAAATGGAAATGTTCAAATTAAACTTAGAGAGCGAGAGAGAGAGAGTTGATGAGACTCTGGAGTCATCTTGTATTTTAAAAAACATCAACAGAATCAAAAGAAAATAATAAACTAGATAGCACAAAATCCTACAGAATTGATCCTGTTGATATTAAAATTACTAGACTGCTTCACAAATATTTGATTTGTCTACATGTAATGAATCTCAATCTAAAACTATTTATATTGTTTTTGACTTTTTCAGATTCTCACTTTGCATTTCTCTCAGTGAATTTTCACCTATGTACAAAGTCTAATTAACTATAACTGAATCGTTTTCACTCATTTTTCTTCGACAACCCTTGGTCTATGTGAAGTTATTCAGTTTGTTTCTTTTTTCCTCACATAATGATTGTCAGAAAAAGTATTTCATTACATGGACTATTAAAGTTACCTGTTATCTTTCAGCAAACCTTGAATGAAGGTCTTTTTTAAACTTGTTCAATAACGTCACTGATATTTAACTTGAATTAATGTTGCGTAAACCGTATTAAAATAAAAACCTATTCTATCGTATTTACTATTACCTTGATACGCAGATAGTAACTCTTGGAATTCATCAAACACAAAATGGATTTCTAACGAAGATAATTAAGATTAATTTACACGAGTTCGATTTTGCTTCAACACCACATAGTGACTTGCCTTGCTTTTTCATCTTCCACCAAGCATGCAAAATTGCACGACACTTTCCATCAAAAGAACAAAAATAATTTTCTAATGACTTTCAATATTTCTAAAGCTCGTGCTTATTAACTTTATTCATCAGCTCAATATGATACCGAATACTCTTATTCAGATGTAACTCTTTCCGAGTACAAAATGCGCATTGCTATATCTAAAAACTCAACAACGAACTTGTATTGATACTCCGAGGTTCTCAACAGATTGACATAATTACCATATGACATTTATTTGGTATACATGATGTGAAATTAGTTTCATTTACTGCTTTAGGTTCTACTAGTTTATTATTCCACGGAGAATTTATTGCTGTCGTTTATTACAAGACAAGCTTTGAGAGTTTTGCACGTTCTTTTTACCTGTATTACATAAAATTAAAATAATTACAGATTCTAATCTATTATGACGAGTACTTTTCCAGAGAAGTAATTAGCCTTAATTACGGTTAAAAATGAACTACGAATATTTATATTATTATCGAGTTATCCATGCGTGTACTCGCTTGTTGTTCAGATAAATGTTTATGCAGTGAACGACAACTTTGAACAATATGAATGGTATATAAATTATCTTCATTGAATTTGCTGTTAAATCTAGTACTTTTTTTTGATAAACAGATGCTGCTATTTAGAGTAACTAATTCAACATCGTCAAAATATTACTTCCCTAACATCTGCATATTAAGCTTATGTTCTCATTTACTTACTGTTTTTTTCTTATCTCCATTTAGATAAACATACTCTTATATTGATAAGCACACCAGATGTCATGAACAAGAGAAACTTCAGTGTAAAAAAATCAGGGAAGATTTTGAATTAATTATTTATTACCAACCACAGTAGTTAGAAAAGCGTGAAAGAATATACTTACGTTAGACAACAAGTAACGCTCGTCGCTGTCCGATTCGCTTAACCCTCGACTGAAATGTCTAGAGGGACGATATACTACTTTACCTTACCTGAGACAACTTTGAGGATATCAAAGTACCGAATCTCCTCTACCACAGTAATGTTATCATTGAGTTTCAAAATATGCTGAGCTTCAAATGATAGTAATATCTGCATATAAAATTGCTACTTCACGCTAACATTTTGATTAAATGAAATCTTACAATCATTTATGACTGTAGTGATTCTTTCGTTGATCATGGTGGCACTATCGAAGTGGATTCATAGTCGCCATATAGTGAAATCGTATGCTGGCTAACAACAACACTATATAGAAATATAGCTCCCGTATGCGCTTTCACTATAGATTGGAGAGTTATTTTCGATGCAGCTCTCAGAGATCTTCACTACGAAACGGAGGGCAGTACTCGTATCTTCTTTCTCTCACTATCGCACTCAAAATGCCTAAGTTGAAAATGCAGTTACTTTCATTTTTTCCAGCAATACACTTCTTATTTGTGGAAGATTCGGACAAAACCAATGCTTAAGAAACTAAACACACGTAAGTTCACAATCAATCTTCAGTCAAACTCTCTATTACAGTATCTTTCATAAAAACATAGAACATCCTGAAGAAAGATTTTGCTCCAATAGCAAATTTCGATAAAAAACGGCCAAAAGCCATAAAATGAGAAAGTTCATTTCTGATTGGTCAGCTCCTGACCAATGAAGCCTCGGTCAAAGAAGTGAGCTTCGAATTCGGATTCAGTGTCCTTGATAACCCATGTAATAAAAACCGCATGAAAATCGGCGGTTAACCGCGGTTTTACCGATCCGGTTACCGGCTCTCATTACCGCAGAACGGACAAATACCGCAGTTTACCACACAAAATGAACTGGCATTTACCGCGGTAAACCGCCGGTTTCGATTAATACCGCGGTTACCGCTAAAAAAAGCGGTTAACCGGTTCATCTATAATTTTTGACAGAAAAAGTTTTCCAAATCATCAATTAAACTATTTTAAAGATCCTTCTTTTTTCTTTTACATGTGATAAACATGCGCAAAAAACCGCCGGTTTGCCGCGGTTTTACCGGCTCCCATTACCGCAGAACGGATAAATACCATGGTTTACCGCAAAAATTGATCCGGTATTCGCAACATGGGAACCTATGGCGAGGTTCGATCAAAATATGGGAAACTCTCATATATGTTTTTTTGACCCCAATCAAGATAACAAACAAACAAACAAACGCCTTTAATTTCATATGACCCTCCCTACAGTCGAGGGAATATATTGAATTAACTCATGAATTTGCCTAACGTGTAGAGCCTATCGGGTCCACAAATTTTTGGACCGGACCCGATAAATCAGAATTTTCAGACCCGGAACCGGACCCGTCCGTTTACAATTTTTGAACCCGGACCCGGTACATTAAAAGTGTTTGGACCTATACTAGCAAGGACACTAAAACTTTGAAACTACTCTGATAGAATTATTCAAATTGAAGTAAACTCACTCCCATATTATAAGGCCGCCCATATTGTATCAGGCAAAACCGTCAGAAGTTTCAAAAGTGGTGTTCTCATAGGAAACAGATTACTTTCTTAGGGCGGATTTTCTATTATGGGAGGGGGTTTAGCGTTTCTCAACTTTAATCTTTAAATTTAAAGCTAAAACTAGCATATCTTCAAGTTTAACTTTCTAAAAAGTCAAAATTTAAAGTATATCTTTTAGAAAATTTCTCTTTTGTTAAAATTATTTTTTATTGAAAAACAAATAGTTCTGAACAAAAAACATTCCTTTCATGAAAACATCTATTCGAACTTCAAATCTTTGGACTGCAATTTTTGATCATGCTTCTTTCAATTTGAAAGTAAAGGTAAGCTGGAATTCTTAACAAAAGCCTAGTTTATTAGTCAAAATAGATCTGGAACAAAACGTACTCTTCAATTTGTAGTCCAATTTTCTAATTAACTCTGGTGGTCGCTCCGAAGATACGACATAGTTTTGTCATTTTTTGTTATGTAAGTAGTACATCTTACACGTTCTTTCAACTATCTGATAAAGTGTTTTTAGCAATTCATTTCATTCGTCTTTCTGGCTAGCTAGCGATCAGTCGTATTTTAGTTTATCCGTATTCTGCACTTAGTGCCCCCGTTTTTCTGCTCTTCTATTTTTCTCAAAAACATCTTCCCAGGTCAAACATTACGACTACCAGAAACGATCGTATACGGCCGTAAACATTAACGTATACTGCCGTTTCTCACCATAAATGGCCGCAACTTGACGTTTTGGCATGCGCCGTATTACGGCCGTAGTTAATCGTGTCATAAATGGTTACTAACGACTGTAATGTGGTCGGATATTTCCGTATCGATCGTTTATGGCACGATACAAACACGACCGTAATACGATGCATTCCAAGCGGCTGTAAATTATGGTCAAACGGCCTGTACGACACAAGTTGATCGACCTGGGTTCTTTTAAGTCCTCTTTTGAGAATTTCTTCTTCTGTGTCTGAGACTGAACTCACACACAGTTTTTAGGTGGTCTTCGGAAATGCCTCCGAAAATAGGAGGTGGGGTTGCCGATGGTAAGCAGCGAACCAAAACCTCGACAAACAAATCAACCAAATTCACCAAACAGCTGATAAAAATGGTCATTCACAAGTTGGAAGACCATCATTGATTGGACAATCCGCCCAATCAAAATTCACCATTGCCCCCTCATTATAGAGGGAGTCAAGATCAGCAAGCTCCAACTTAATGATCTATTAAAAGAACATTTAAATGATGTTAAAATCCACGATATACAACTAAGTAGATCTGGATCATTCACATTATATGCAAGTGATATTAACTCATTTAACTGCCTGTTAAATGAATCTACAATAATCCTTACAGCAAACGGTCAACAAGCAGTAAAAATAGTCGTTCCTCGATCGATTCAACGAATCAAGGATACAGAAATGGTCGCTTTCGTAAAGAGAGTCGACCTTGAAATACCGGATAATCGAATAACCGAAGCACTAACAAAAGTTGGCCTAGATGTTATCAATGTTACTCGATTAAACCGAAAAGATGGCAATACACCTGCAAACACCATTAAAATAACATTTAAGGATGCAAACAATCGAAACACATTTATCCACACTGGACTACAAGTGGATTCGATGCACTTTAGTGCTGAAGCTGCATCACAAAATAAAAAGCCAGTACAATGTTACATTTGTCTTCAGTACAATTATGTAGCAAAGTACTGCAAAACAAAACAGCAAATATGTGCTAAATGCGGTGATAAACATCGTATCGAGCAATGTACTGCTGCAAATGATGCAATTAAATGCAACAACTGTAAACGTAAACATTTGGCAACTAACCACTTCTATCATTCATAACAAATGCTGAAACACACCCAACCATCAGCACAATAAATGGACATAAACCATTAACCTTCGATATCCAAATTGGAGCTGAACCAAAACCAACTTCTCCAATATTATCACTTAACTTTAAAGAAGTAAAATGGACAAAGTTCAGATCCTAATTAGATCAACAACTAATACTATGGAATAATGATCTTAGTTTAAATTCACCTTTAGACATAGAAGATTATTCAATGTTTACTACCAATAGTATTATGTTAGCAACTAAAGAAGCCGTTCCGACATCTACACCAACGAGCAAAAGTTATGCATTAAGTGAAGCATCCAAGAGCTTGATCACATTGAAACATCAAGCATATCGAAGATGGAAGAGGACCGGAGACAATACAGACAAATGTCAGTATTACAACTCCAAAATGTTACTAACAAACTCACTTAGAAATGACAGAAGAGGCAACCTTAACAAGTTAATGTCGTCTTTATGTCATAAAAAAATGTATTCAAATAAGGTTGGCTTACAGTTCGCAAGTTCCATAGCAAAAGAATTAAGGAAACTTTTACATGCAACATGACATACAACAACACGACAGCAACATCAGATAAAGAAAAAGCAGACAGTCGACTACATCCACAAAATTAGTAATATTCCAAAAATCAAGGATTATGCAACAACATTACTAAAACAGTCCATCCAAACAGCAACAGCAAATAAAGACATTACATCGAAAAAACATCTTCAAGATATACTTGAAAAAATTTCATGAAAAAAACACCAACCTACTATACAATATCATCCTCGAGAAACTAGACCATTGCTGGGTCAATCGAACCTGTACGAAAATTGTTATATCAGACTCGCATGCGTAGAGTTTTTTCATGTATAGCGAGAAATGAGTCAACTTATTTGCTGACTCGTATTTTTATTCAGCTATTTTCGTTTTTCTCACTTATTCTTCATATTATGTATGATGATGAGTCAATCTATTTGTTGACTAGTTTTTCTATATTCAGCTATTTATGTTTCCTATCGTTTAGTTACATTTGTATTATAAAACAACAATAATACAATGAAGACCAATTAATGTAATACCCACTACTACGAATACCACATTATCACCACAACATACACATCAATACGAAACGACCAAACTAAACTCTGAGATAAACGACTAATGTCATGTGTCTCATTTTATTTCTTTTCCTTCTTTCAGCTTCTTTTTGACGATATTGTACGTTGCTTTGTTTATGTTTTGCTTTTTCTGTTATGTACATTTATTGTTATTTTTCCATCAATAAAAAGCGATGTTACCAAAAAAAAACAAAAAACAATTCATTTATAATGGACTCTGACTTCTAGCAACTCGCTATTAGTTTGCAGCTTCGAATGGAATAAGGAACAAATTTATTAAAGTGTTTATATTGTTTCTTATGTTAGACAACTTCTCCATCAGCAACATTGACTTCGCTTTCACTCAATTATATGCATAAAAAGTTTTTTTGATCTGACCCAATAAGTAAAAATATTTTTAATCTGAACCCGAACCCGGATCCAGACCCGGTTAAAAATAAATTTCAGACCCGGAACCGATGTCGGACCCGGCGGGCTCTACTAACGTGCCTATTATTGATCTATATAACCAGCCATTACATGTTATTTTTAAGAAACTCGATAGCATAAATATTTCCCAATGGAAAAAGAATAAAAGAGTAAATGAAACATTGTGACACAAGGTTTGTAGCTTCACTAATACTCTTGGAATAGTGCCGATGTCATCAATTTTCAATAGTACGTAGCCCGTCAACAATGAAATATTGGCTCAAATGATACATGCAATTCAAAGATTTAAGTAATTCAGTCCGGTCAGGTCTACCACGTAGGGCCACCCCAAAGCAGAATCAACGAATCGTTTCGCTCGCTGAAGGACAGATATTCGTCATTGCTCAAGACATTGCACACAAGCTGAAGCGGCAACAAGTCGTAGTGAGTGACAGAACAGTTCAACGGCGCTTAAATGAAGCTGGCGCGAAATACAATCGACCAATGTCAAAGCCATTGCTTACGGAGCACCATCGACAAAGTCGTTTGAAATGGGCGCAACATCACAAAGCCACGAACTGAAACCAAGAGATACTTTCTGGCGAGAGTGCTATTTGTTTGAATTCTGTGAAAGGACTGGTTTGAAGCTTACCAGGATTGAAAAAATCGTTCGTACTATCAAGCACCCTATCAAAGTGACTATTTGGGGTTGTTTCCCAAGCAAAGGTTTCGGTCGCATCATCTGTTTTCGCGAGAACCTTGATTCGAAATTCATGTGTGCCATTTACCAGCATAGTCTTTTACCAACAGCTCGGAAACAATCTGGTCACCATTCGACGTTATGGAAGCTGTAAGAAGACAACGATTCCAAACAGACGTCGAAACTTGCACACAATTGGAGAGAAGAAAACAGAATCGAAAAAATCGATTGGTGATCAATGCACCCGACCTGGCTCCTATCGAAAATGTATGGCAACTGCTCAAGATGAAGTTAAGAAAGAAAAAGCTTACAACTTATCAATCTCTGATTTCGACAATAAAGTGCGAATGGAAAGCCCTGCCACCAGAACTGGCTACCAAAATAACATATAGTATGGAAGATCGAATTTATGAAATTATTGAAAGTGGCGGGAATTTCCTATTACATTAATGATCGGGATAGACTCTAAACTTTTACATAATAAAACACTTTTCATTGTATCATCATGTTTAATAAAATTATAGGTCGGTGAAAACTTTTGTCTGCTACTGTATGTCATATCTGTCAGTATTGATCCTGTTTTTCTATCCAACAATAAACGTAAGAATAAACGAGAACGATGCTACAATTGTCTATTTGCAAACATAAAGAACTCTCAGCATATTCCCCATTATCAAATCTTACTCAATCGTGTTTTCGTTTTTTATTTGAAACGTACCGAAAGCAATCAACGAGGATAATTGGTTAAATATTCCACCACATCATTTTTTGTACTCCAATGAATTATAGTAACAGGCAAATGAAATTCAACCACTATTTTGTATATCAAATAATTAGTTGATAATTGATTAGAAGAAATTCATATGCTGCATTAAAACATCTGATTAAAAAATAAATGTGATTTCACAAACAAAAACAAAAGCAAAAATAAAGCCTACTAGTTGTACTATGAGTTTGACTCCACTTCCTCTTTTTTGAACATATGACAAAGAAAAGACGAACTTGGTTGTAAAATACTTGTGCATATAAAGGCTAGTGCGTAGTTTTTATGGTAGTAGCTTGACCTCGCCAAGTAGGCAAAAAAATGGGGGACGAACATTTTAAAAACGGTGATGAACGTATTCATAAGAAAAATTGCCTTAATGACGACAGCGTCATGCTCCATTCGTTCACATAAAATAACTAAATAATCTCATGGGCGTTACGTATAACAGTGAAACTTATTGCAGGTACATTGAATTTATAGTGCAATTCAGAATGGTACAGCCTGCATGTAGGTTTCGATTTTCTACTTTTTTAGACTGACAAAAAATTTAGTTGAAAATCTCTAGCAGATAACATCACATTAAAGAAAAAGACGAAATATAGAAATCAGGTAATTCAATTACGAAAAATTGATTTCAGCAGTTTCGTTTTTGAATGCTGAGTATAACTAATTGATAGCCATGATTAAAGTTACAGCTACGCATAAAAAAAATTAGTATTACTACAAACCGTATAAAATAGAGTGGCCTCAATGATGCTTGTGTAGCTCATTGAGAATCATGATAGTGCAAAATTTTCATTTCATTCTTAGGAATTTCGATGATGTTAGAGTATCCAAAAAGCTACTCGAATTCAGACTAACTCTATGAAATAAAACTAAATGCATCTTCTATAACTCAAACAAGCACTGCAATAGCGTCCAATTATATAATATTAGTTACTCTCTAGAAATAATGGTGTAATCAAGAAAATTTGTAAATTTGCAGATGAAAGTTGATCTCACGAATGTGTCAACATATTATGAATCAATTCTTAGTTAACATTTTGTAGTATATAGTTTATTTTGGTTATCATCCTGTTGACTTTGTTGTGATATTATTTTTAGTACATCTAATTACTTATGACATATGAACACAGTCAATGATTCATCATTATTTGAATAAAAGAAAAGTTAACAATAATTTTAGCGTAACGCAGAAAGAATAGATCACGAGATCACGAGAAAATTTAGTTTTCTCATCAAAAGTACTTCGTACTCGTTGAGCTACTACATACTATTTATTAGTTCATTTTTTTTAGTATTCAAAATTTAGAGCTCCGTAAAAAAAATGAATGAAAAGACATTTCTCACGGTCAGCAACCATCCGAAGAAGGCATTAATGACGCCAAAACATGTTAACCATTCTACTTGAACCATCATTCTTTAGACTGTGACTCAAATCTATGATGCGAAATTTTCTTCTGAACTAACTTGAAACCAATATCAACGAAGAAAAAATCTTTTGAAATATTTCTATAAGAGTTAATCGAAATACTGTACCTCTGATTCACCATATGACACATCTTAATAGGAACCAGAGACGTGCACATGACAGGGTGACCCTGCTGTCCTGTCCTGCCCCCTGCCCTGTCCTCCCGCTTGCCAGGACGAAGATTACCAACAGGACAAAGCAGGACAGGATAAGGTTTCGATTTTTGTCCTGCCCTGACGCCCGCCAGGACCAAAGTAGCCAGCAGGTAGTGTACTACACAGGAGTCGGAATCAAAAGAAAAAAAATTTAGGAGTCGGAGTCGGAATCAAAAATGGTACCTGACTCCGAAAATTCCGAAAACTCGACTTCTACTGTGACGAAGCTAAAGTAGTAGAAAATAAAATAATTTTTTTTTGAGTTAACGTTTGAGCTATATTACAACAAAAATCACACCATCTGACTTTCACTTAAATAGAAGTTTATTCATGAGTATATTGTATAATAAACAAATATATGCTAATTTTAACTTTATAAATAA